GAAACAGGCTAAGTGCTGTTAATAACTGGCAAATGTTGCTGGTGTCAAACTCATTTTGGCTTTACTGGAGATCCATTTAGAGACTGACTGTCCGTACGGGAAACTCGCATCAAGCCGTTATTAGTTGCAAAAGGTGGAGGTGGGCCAAACAACAAGGAAACGAGCGAGCATGTCATTTATTCACTCAGCCACATTATATGAACTGCTGAAGCATATTCTCAGGGTATTTTTACAGTGTAGACTGTGAACGCTGAGACATTAGAAGAGCTGAATGTATGATTGTGAGACACGACTGATTGGTGTGAAAGAAGATATCTGATTTTGTGTTTGTTTGCTCAGTAGTCCAACAAGTGCTAATGAGCTGCAGCTTTCCAGCACTAACTGACAACCAAACCTGCATACATTTAGCAGGTTTTGCAACCTCTGTGTTTATTTCAAAAGTATTAGAAAGCAGTGAGTCTTTTTTTTAAAGAACCCCTTATTGCTGTAGAATTTATTTATTTTTCTGTACTTGCAATTTCACCCTGGAGCGGACACCTGAAACATCGATTTACTCATAGCCAACTTTGAGTAGCCAGTTAACCGAACATGCAAGTGTTTTGGGGGAAAAAATGTAAAAGAGAGGAAGAAAGAGTCCAGCCAAGCGTTGAACCTGCAACCGTCTTGCTGCAAGGCAGCAATCCGCAACTTCACTGTGCAATAAAATCCTTCTAGAGCATAAACATGCATGCATGTAAAGATAATTTCATCTTTGTTTTTTGTGAGATGCAGGACGCTCAAATAAATCACAGTTAATTAACAATACATGTTAAACATTGTGTTTAACAGCTGTTCATCATTCTTTACTGCTGTGAAGTAACCACAAAAAAGAGATTGGTTGATAAATCTAATCATTTTTGTAGATGTGCCTGCCTCATTGAGTGTGCTGATTTATGTTACTTATTCTGCAAGCTGCGCTCTTTAATGGTTTTTTTTACACCCGTCTTCTAGAGCGCCTTGTTGTAAACAGAACTGTGTGGATGCAGCTAGAGCCTGCATTTTCCAGAACAGTTAATAAAATAAAACATAAAAGCAATTTATTACCAGGGAAAAAAATTCTTTTTTCAATGTTGTTAAAAGTGGGTAGCTTGCATGATTTTAAGGGGATTTATCTCTTAGTTCACCGTCTTGGATCACCATGGTTAATTTTTGTTTAACAGAAGACTCTAAATGAAAAATAAACATTTTTTTTTTCATTGTGATATTTTAAAGGGTTAAATTTACATTTATTTAATGAACCATAGGACATAAGTTTCCATAGTAAACATGAAATCAATCTTATGGATCTTTGGGTACTTTTAACCGGAATATTGGAACTTTTTATTGCGGGGATTATGTAACACTTCGTATTAACTGAGAGACAAGGAAAGAGAGAGTCACCTTTCAAACGTTTAAGAAGATTTATTTCTAAACAATTTTAAACAAGACTAACTCTAAACTTTAAGTGAATGGATGGATCTTGGTGTGAATGAGACGTGAGATGAATGGTGTATGTGTGAGTGATGTTTGTCATCAGAACTCTCGTATCCGGAGAAGCACGTCTAAGTGATGAAGTGATGTTTTGCTCTTAAGCTATGATCGGAGTTTCATAAACACATGAGACGCCATGTTGTCGCTCCACACATACCCTTCAGGATGAGACCTCCGTACAGATCCAGAATGCCAGGTCCTCGGACCCCCCTTTCGGTACCGGAGCCGATGAAACAGCGTCAGCAGTACGACAGACTAGTCTTTGGATTGTCTCCAGGTAAAAAGCGACAGTTGGTTGACAGCATCAGATGGACCCGGAGGGTCAGTGAGTTCAACTTTAATTCTGAAAGGAACCGTTGCTTGGTTGGTAAAATGCACCAGATTTTATCCAGCTTGTTGGTTCTTTGTTTAAAAAGGAAGTCCTGGTGGCCGGTCCGATGCTTCTCTTAGAATGCGGTGAACTGACTTAAGATGGCTTGGGACTGGTTTTATTAATCTGGATGTTTTGATTTATGGTCGAATCAAAGTTGGGCAGATTTATAAACACCACAGAGACTATGCCACGCTTCAGAAAGGAATGTTCCAATTGGATGAGTAAAAGCAATGTGTCACGCGTTTACATTACGTGTGATCAGGATGTATATTGCAGCTAGATTAAAGTCATATTACGTATTAAAAAATACTAATCATAACATTGTCATTTCACAGATTGGTCAACATCTTATTATTGACTAACACTTTGTTTGATTAGCTTTATTAAAAATAGAGTTCTTTGATTTAGTAAAAAGAAAGAGTCATTTGTCTTCATTCTTCTCTTGGGCTGGAAAGGAAAAGTTTTAGAAGCAAATGCATGACCTTGAGACAATATCTCATGCTGATTAGTTCTTGCTGAGGAGGAAAATGACTTTTAGGTGGAAAACAGTCATTTCATTCTGTTACAATCTTTACTAAAAAACAGATTTACATGTAAACTATGTTTCTAGTTTCTAAAAGGAAACATGATCTATTTATTTAAAGGTGTGGAACACTGAAAATCCACTTTTAAAAATCATATTTGAATTTAATCTGTCAGAGTCTTTCATGCAGCCTGAACATGAAAATAGTTTGGTACGCGCATCCACTTCTGATAGAAAATAGACGGTGAAACACTAGGATTTGATAATCCTGACAGATCTACATCACACTGTCAATTAAATGTATGGACTTTTGATGTTTCAGCATCCAGGGAACAGCAGAGAATATCTCGGCTAGTAGAAGCTAATTGTTAGCATTAGCAAATCCACCACACAGCGGAACTCCTTCAAACTTGTGTTATTTTTTGAGATAAAACATCAACGTTGAAAGTTTGTGGTAGAGTCATGTTGCCATTATCCAATCCATGGCGAGATGTCCAAATATCACGAAATAAGACTCCAAAACCTGCCGTCTGAAGCTCAGCTGTGATGTGGCTCACTTCTAGTTCCTGGATCAGAAAAAAAGACATCAACAGAGTTCTTGTTCCAAATAAAATACTCCCAATGTGTTGAAAACACGTAGAAGAAGCAAAAGAACATGTTTTAACCAATTAGTTTTTTTTAAAGAAGCAAATAGTAATAATTATGTTAATAGTTCTTAACTTTTCTGTTTCATCAAGGTCAGGCAGGCTTAACTAACAGTTTTATGGCTTTAGATTTATTATTTTTGTATGAACTAAGCAGAATGGTTTTATTATTTGAATTTGAACTTAATTTTAACACAAACTTGATAAGTCTTAAAATATAATCAATACATTAATTTTAGAAAGTTAGATGGGTTCTAAATTCATTTGTTTAAGCATGATTTTTATCAAACAATTCTCATGTTAAATCAGTTTAAGGATCAAATAAAAACCAGATAAATGCAGTTGTAATATTTCAGGACAGAAATAGTAAAAATCTACCATTTACTTTTATTACTTGATGTTAGTCAAAGGAGATCAAACTAATTGTTGTTGAATAATAAAATTCAACTTAGTAAAACTCAGAAGAGAAGGAAACGTTATATTTTATATTTTGCTAAGTATCTTTTTTTTCTCTCTCACAGTCCTAATTGTGAACCTTTTAAATAAAATGCCATTAATTAACGCCAATAAAAAATATTTCATCAACATGTCTTTTTACTCGTGATCCAGTTTCAGTTTTATGAAAATGTTGTCATCATAAAAAGCTTTGAGATCAAAGCAAGGGTTTATAAAGTGGGTTTGCTCATCTAAAGGAGCACTGGACCTGGACTGTGTGTGTGTGTGTGTGTGTGTGTGTGTGTGTGTGTGTGTGTGTGTGTGTGTGTGTGTGTGTGTGTGTGTGTGTGTGTGTGTGTGTGTGTGTGTGTGTGTGGTTACACTTCACAAGTACAATCTGTTTATCTGCGTTTACACACGTCAGACTGCATCAGATGCAGCTCTTGGCTGATCTGAACATGTTGCACATCAATCACTTGGTTTTTGAAGATCAGACATGCACGCATGTGTGTGTGCACACACACACACACACTGCAGTTTATGACTCAGTAAATCAATGTGAGGCGCCTGACCTGCCCTCCGTTTGTCACTTTGCAGATCTGCATCACAGCTGATGTCATGAACAGATAACGCGTTGATATTACAAATGAGGTGAATGTGCTGCATAAATAAATGATGCCGTTAACATGATTTAAACATCACTGAACTCATTTACATGACAGTAGTTTCTACACAAAGAGGTTTATTAATAGCAGCGACGTCTGCCTCATTTGATCAGACAGGAGCGTTTTGTTGATCTGCTGTCGATTCAACAGTCTGAACACTGGTTCTCACAGGCATGAGGACATCCTTAGAGAAACTGAAATAAAGGTATAATCACCAGAAAACTATCCTAGCTCAAAGTGATCCCACCCTTATTGAGAGTCACCTCTAATATATGATCAGATGTTCATATTAAATGTATATTTTTATGAAACATGCTTGTCTTTAACCACTAAGTGGTGCTGGTGAGTGAGACATGTTCATCTAGTGGGGTGAGGGTATTTTCAAGATGACAGAGACAAATCAGGGAGAATCAACCTGAATTATCTGCAGGAGGATTTCTATCCTCATTGATACAGTTTAGATGACTCTATTACTCAGCTGTTTCTGCAGGTTAGGATTTGCAAAAAGCATCTTGGATTTGGTGTGTGTGTGTGTGTGTGTGTGTGTGTGTGTGTGTGTGTGTGTGTGTGTGTGTGTGTGTGTGTGTGTGCCAAGCGCTGGCTTGTTGCTGCTGACTCTCTACCCGTCCCAGACCTTCTGCAGTGACCCGTGTCCTCTGGGAGAATGAGATAACACAAATAGAAAAAAAGACAGAAGCTCTTCAAAGAACTGCCTTTATGATCATCTAAAATATATCACTCTGACAATTTAAAGAGACACCCAACTACTTTCCAGAACGTCATTTGAAGCATTAGAAGGAAATGGCATAAATTATTTAAAATTTAAAATCAAATCACTTACTAACAATTGATATTTTTAACCTTTTATTAAAAAACAACAACATATTTTTCTGTATTTAACAGGTTTATTATTAATCCCACTGCTGTTTATTGTATGACGATTGATTATTTACATATCAATTACATATATTTAAAGACAATTTATTCCAGAAGTGAACAGAAATACTGAGCTCTTTGTTTTATGAGCATAAATCCAAAACTGAGTGTTAGTTCCAGAGTGGTTTAGTTAAGGAAGAATTCATGCCAGAGCACTACAGTACGACCCGTTCACATCCACGGAGCCATCATAGAAGTCTCCTTTTGTGCCTGCTGGAAGAAAAAGAAACAGTTCATCAGCTAAAAAGTTAGTAATAGAAATTAGGAGTATTTACACTCACATAAAGGATTATTAGGACCACCATACTAATATGGTGTTTGACCCCTTTTCGCCTTCAGAACTGCCTTAATTCTACGTGGCATTGATTCAACAAGGTGCTGAAAGCATTCTTTAGAAATGTTGGCCCATATTGATAGGACAGCATCTTGCAGTTGATGGAGATTTGTGAGATGCACATCCAGGGCATGAAGCTCTCGTTCCACCACATCCCAAAGATGCTCTATCAAGTTGAGCTCTGGTGACTGTGGGGGCTGTTGTGGTACAGTGAACTCTGTCATGTTCAAGAAACCAATTAGAAATGATTGGAGCTTTATGACATGGTGCATTATCCTGCTGGATGTAGCCATCAGAGGTTGGGTACATGGTGGTCATGAAGGGGTGGACATGGTCAGAAACAACACTCAGGTAGCCCGTGACATTTAAACCATGCCCAATTGGCACTAAGGGACCTAAAGTGCGCCAAGAAAACATCCCCCACACCATTACACCACCACCACCAGCCTGCACAGTGGTAACAAGGCATGATGGTTTACGCCAACTTCTGACTACCATCTGAATGTCTCAACAGAAATCGAGATGCATCAGACCAGGCAACATTTTTCCAGTCTTCAACTGTCTAATCTTGGTGAGCTCGTGCAAATTGTAGCCTAACTTTCCTATTTGTAGTGGAGATGAGTGGTACCCGATGGGGTCTTCTACTGTTGTAGCCCATCCAACTCAAGGTTGTGCGTGTTGTGGCTTCACTAATGCTTTGCTGCATTCCTTGGTTGTAACGACTGGTTATTCCAGTCAAAGTTGCTCTTCTATCAGCTTGAATGTTGGCCCATTCCCCTCTGACCTCTAGCACCAACAAGGCATTTTCGCCCACAGGACTGCTGCATACTGGATGTTTTTCCCATTACACACCATTCTAATCCTAGAAATAGTTGTGTGAGAAAATCCCTGTAACTGAGCAGATTGTGAAATACTCAGACCGGCCCATCTGGCACCAACAACAATGTGGCCCAAAATTGCTTCTATCACCTTTCTTTCCCATTCTGATTCTGCTTGGAGTTCATCAGATGGTCTTGGCCAGGACCACACCCCTTAATGCATTGAAGCAACTGCCATGTGATTGGTTGATTAGATAATTGCATTAAGGGGAAGTTGAACAGGTGTTCCTAATAATCCTTTAGTTGAGTGTATAGTAATTAAATGAATAAAAACTGCATGAACTCAGGATTAAAGTTAGAATATGGAACATTTTAATAAAAAGCTATATTAAAAATAATAATGCCTCCACGGGACATTCAGAAGTGTGTAGGATGAGTGTACAGTTTCTCCTTTTAAAGCAATTTTTAAAAAGATAAATAAATCTATTTTTTATTCTGTTGAGCACGACACTGTGTTTATGTTTACATCTACCAGCCACTAGAGGGCCCCATTGCACTAATAGGTCCACTCAGCTAGGCGAGGTCGGGACTGTGTAAAATGGCGGACTTGACAAATCAAGCAGCTGGTTCTGAGCCCAGAAGACCAAATTTATATTTTTCAACAGATAAATCCATCCATCCATCCATTTTCATCCGCTTATCCGAAGTCGGGTCACGGGGGTAGTAGCCTAAGGTGAGAGGCCCAGACTTCCCTTTCCCCAGCCACTTGGGCCAGCTCCTTTGGGGGTGTTCCCTGGCCAGGTGAGAGACATAGTCCCTCCAACGTGTCCTGGGTCTACCTTTAGGTCTCCTCCCGGTTCGACGTGCCCGGAAAACCTCACCAGGGAGGCGTCCAGGAGGCATCCTGACCAGATGCCCGAGCCACCTCAACTGGCTCCTCTGGAAGTGGAGGAGCAGCGGGTCTACTCCGAGCCCCTCCCGGATAACCGAGCTTCTCACCCTATCTCTAAGGGAGAGCCCAGCTACCCTCCGGAGAAAACCCATTTCGACAGCTTGTATCCGCGATCTCGTTCTTTCGGTCACTACCCAAAGCTCATGACCATAGGTGAGGGTAGGAATGTAGATCGACCGGTAAATCGAGAGCTTCGCCTCCTGACTCAGCTCTCTCTTCACCACGACAGACTGGTACAACGCCCGCATCACTGCAGATGCAGTACCAATCTGCCTATTGATCTCACGCTCCAGTTTTCCCTCACTCGTGAACAAGATCCCGAGATACTTAAACTCCTTCACTTGAGGTAGGACCTCATCCCTGACCCGGAGAAGGCCTTCTACCCTTTTCCGAATCAAGACCATGGTCTCAGATTTAGAGGAGCTGATTCTCATCCCAGCTGCATCACACTCGGCTGCGAACCGCTCCAGCGAAAGCTGAAGATCACGTTCAGGACCACATCATCGGCAAAAAGCAGAGACGTGATCCTCAGGCCACCAAAACAGATGCCCTCCACACCTTGGCTGTGCCTAGAAATCCTGTCCATAAAAGTTGAACAGAACAGAATCGGTGACAAAGGGCAGCCTTGGCGGAGTCCAACTCTCACTGGGAACGAGCCCGACTTACTGCCGGCAATGCAGACCAAGGTCTGACACCGATCATACAGGGACCTAACAGCCCGTATTAGAGGGCCTGGTACCACATACTCCCGGAGTACCCCCCCCCCCCCCCCCCCCCAGGGCCCCCCGAGGAACACGGTCAAACGCATTCTCCAAATCCACGAAACGCATGTAGACTGGTTGGGCAAATTCCCACGCACCCTCCAGGATCCCCCTAAGGGTATAGAGCTGGTCCAGTGTTCCATGGCCAGGACAAAAACCACATTGCTCCTCGTGAATCTGAGGTTCAACAATCCGACAGACCCTTCTCTCCAGAACCCCTGAATAGACCTTACCAGGAAGGCTCAGGAGTGTGATCTCCCTGTAGTTGGAACACACCCTGCAGTCCCCCTTTTTAAATACGGGAACCACCACCCCAGTCTGCCAATCCAGTGGGACTGCCCCCGATGTCCATGCGATATTGCAGAGCCGTGTCAGCCAACACAGCCCCACAACATCCAGAGCCTTAAGGAACTCCGGGCAGATCTCATCCACCCCTGGAGCCTTGCCACAGAGAAGCTTTTAAACCACCTCAGTGACCTCAGCACCAGAGATTTGAGAGGCCAACTCAAAGTCCCCAGACTCTGCTTCCTCACTGGAAGACGTGTCGGTGGGATTGAGGAGGTCTTCGAAGTATTCTGCCCACCGATCCACAACGTCCTGAGTAGAGGTCCGCAGCATACCATCCCCACCTGGACAAGCGTTGGTAGAAAGTCCAACCCCTCTTAAGGAAACTGGTTCCAGAGCCAGAGCCATGCGTTGAGGTGAGTCAGACTATATCTAGTCGGAACCTCTCAACCTCACACACCAACTGAGGCTCCTTCCCCACCAGAGAGGTGGTATTCCATGTGCCAAGAGCCAGCTTCTGTAGCCGAAGATCAGACCGCCAAGGTCCCCGCCCTCGACTACCACCCGTCACACACTGCACCTGACCCCTTTGGCCCCTCTCACAAGTGGTGAGCCCATGGGAAGGGGGACCCACGTTTCCTCTTCGGGCTGTGCCCGGCCGGGCTCCATGGGTAAAAGCCCGGCCACTAGGCGCTCTCCAACGTGCCCCATCTCCAGGCCTGGCTCCAGAGGGGGGCCCCGGTGACCCATGTCTGGGCGAGGGAATACGGGTTCCACTTATATAATTCATCATAAGAGGTCTAAATACAGGTAAATACTGTAGTAAAATAAACTTAGTAGAAATTAGTCCTTATCCTGTATGATTTGTCAGCAGTGACCTAACATCCCAACGGCTGGAAAATTAAGTCCTGTTGTTGCAATACCACCTCTGAACACCAGGGATCGCCAGATTGTCCATGTTCCATAGGCAACCTTTAAGGTAAACTAAACATTGATGGAAAAACTTTATTTTAGAAACGGGTTTACCTTGTTTAGCTCAGGGAAAAGTTCTTGAATGGCGATGTCGAGCAGCACATACGTCAGCTGAGGAAGGCAAAAAGCAGAGGAGTAGAAAAGTCACTAAAGTGAGTAATATTGAAACTAAACATGGAAGTTTGCAGACAAATCAGTGTGGGATAGACAGGAATTTTAGGAAAAGTTGTTTGAATAAAAAATACCACCAACCAACCAACCAACCACACACACACACAATCATCTGATCGACCACATCAAGACTTTTCAGGTATGATTATAATCTTCGATACAGAAACTCAAATTTATGAGAATTAAGTAAATTGATTGGTTCTGTTTTTACAGTGGTTCTGTTTTTACAGTGGATGTTAAGTAGATCTGAGCCTCTTGATAGATCGTGTGGTGTTCCCCAAGGCAGACATTTAGGACATCATTTATTTTAGGTTATATTATTGGCATATTTATCATTATTTTATATATAATGTAAAGTGCTACTCTATGCTGATGACAGCGTTGGGATGTTTTTACGCATTCACAAAGCTTATTTATATAAACATGGCAACACCCTGATACCAATTTATATCATTCAAGGTTGTTCAGAAAAAACAAAACAAAGAAAATAGATTACTACCAACCCCGAGAGTCGAACCGGAGTCAGCAGAAGGCAAAACAAATCTTGAGTCAGACCATTATGCCACTGGACTACCAGAGATCATACTATAAGCAGTCTGCCTAAAATGCTGTTGTAGGCATGTTTGGAGCATAGCATTAACAATTGTAAACTAGTAACAGCCGTAATTCATATGGGTCAGGTTAGTTTGCGATAAAGTTAAAAAACAAAAACAGAAGAAGTCAGTGGGCTGGGCTGAGTTTGCGTGAATGGGCGGGGCTGACTCTGGTGCAGCTCCACCTTCTGGTGAAGCTCTGCCTTTGTGGTTCTGCAGTGAGCACCCTCTCAAAAATAAGTTGAATTTTACTGGAATGGAAGTAGTGTGTTGTGAAAAGTTTAGTGTGTGTTGGACCTGTTTGTTGAGAACTGGCTGCTGAAGTCCATCAAACAGCAGACGAACTCCTTCATACTTGGCTTCTTCTCCGATACATTTCGATAAAACATCTGGGTTAAAAAAGTTGATCTTAAATTTCCCCTCAACATCCTAGAATAGCAGCATGTGACAAAAAAAACTATCTGAATACCTGGAATATAGCTCATCATCTCCTCAAATGTCCTCTTGGCTCTGCTCTGTTTGTCCTGGACCGAGCGGGGGGAACTGCTCTCACAGAAAACCGTGTCTGGAAGATCAGACCTTTACAAATGAAAACGTGTCTGAAGAGAAACTCAGCAGCAGCAAAAGCAGCAGCCTGGCGCACCTCTGAGCAGGGTGATGAGTGAGACTAGTCGGTGCTCCTGGACCACCTGGTTCAGCTTGAATTGAATGCAATTGTCTGTGTAGGCCTCCAGGGTGTTCTTAAACAGGATCCTACCCCCCATCAGCAGGTGGTGCAACCAGTCAGGGATATGAAACACAACTCGACCTTTTGACATTGGAGGGAAAAAAGAAATTAGAAATTATTTGGTTTGATAAATCTTCTGTCGTCCAAAATTTTGATATATTTTTTGCTTTTGCAGAATTTGCAGATAACGATGTTGTCAGACAAGGTGTTTGCATTTTCAAGTTTTAATGAATGCATGATTAGAGCTGAGCTGGAAGGCGAAGCTCTGGATTTACTGGTCGATATACATTTTAACCTTCACCTATGGTCACAATCAAATTAGTTTTCTCCGCAGGGTGGCTGGGCTCTCCCTTAGAGAAAAGGGAATAGATCGGAGTCGACCCGCTGCTCCTCCACATCGAGAGGAGCTAGTTGAGATGGCTCAAGAATCTGGTTAGGATGCCTCCTGAAAGCCTCCCTGATAAAGTTTTCTGTGCACCTCCAACTGGGAGGAGACCTAAAGGAAGACCCAGGACACGCCTGGAAGGACTATTGGGCCATTCCCATCTGTACCGGGTTGGCCCGGGCCGGGTAGCCCCAGTCGGCCCCAGCCTGGCCCGGTTGATTCCACACATCCTTGCCTTAAGCCCATGTGGGCTGATTCTACCCACCAATCAGAGGCTTGCTCTAATGGAAGGTGTGAATTTGCTGTCAGCAGTGGGTGTGTTGGCCCTGGTCGGCCTGAAGCAGACCCCCTCGAGAAGAGGGCTGAGAATGAGCCTTGGTTGGCCCGGAAAAATACCAGGCCACCCAGATATGTAAACAACCTACGCTACCCGGCCCGGGCCGACCCGATACAGATGGGAATGGCCCATATGTTTCTCATCTGGCCAGGGAATGCCTTGAGATTTCCCTGGAGGAGCTGGCCCAAGTGGCTGGAGAGAGGGAAGTCTGGGCCTCTCTGCTTAGGCTGCTGCCTCCGCGACCTGACTCTGAATAAGCGGCCGATAATGAATGAATGGATGAATGAATGAATGAATGAATGAATGAATGAATGAATGAATGAATGAATGGATGGATGGATGGATGGATGGATGGATGGATGGATGGATGGAGCGACGATCTTTTAAATGGAGTGCTGTCCAATGGGAAGTTTCTCAAGTTTCTGGCTCAAGAATCACCAAAACCAGTTTGAAATCATAAGGCTTAAAGTGTTAAAAACTCTTTGGTGTTGGGTTAAAGATAGAAAAGAGAAAAAAAAGTAACATTTTTAAGCACAAAAACAAAACATTTCCGACTATTTCTATTTTCTGTTTTAACATTTAAGTTATGCATGAACGTTTGCTCACATTTTAAGTACAGAAAGGAGGAAATAAGTCCTTCTTTTCAGCTAATAATAAAACGTTGGTTTTATCTGCAGCTGCTACAGCTTGTTACATTCAGCTTTACAGCAAATGTGTTTTTTCTTTAATAAATCAGATGTAGGAATATTTTATGTGAACAGAAAAAACAGCAACACTGACTTACCCACATACATTAGGTAGTCATACACCCCTTCAACAGTGATCATCTCCATGAAGTAGTTCTGGTTGTGACGCTTCTCCGTCATCTCTGAACGGTTGGCGTTGTTTTTGAAGAGGTCATTAAAAAGCTGGAGAAGACAATATTTTTTCTGATAACGTCAAAATTCTTTTTTGCTTTTGTTTGATTGTAACAAACTATTTTAACCACCAAAAACGGGACAAATTCTGACCATCTGGTCGGTTGCAAAAGAAACGCGATGAATGAAATATTTTGTTGCCTTCAAATGCATCAAAAATTTTACAAAGACCTATAATTCTGCAGAAAGTTTTGTGCTGCAAAGAAAACAACTAAATGCAACACTTGTTGGGTGTAAACATGCATGAAGGAGAAATTTGTACTACCGACCTTTTTATCGTTTTCTGAGGTGGGGCTCAGGATTGTGAGCTCAGGCCGACTTGGTTTGGGTTTAGGAGACTCACAGGAGTTGAAGAAGGACTGGATGAACGGCTCCAGATGCTGTCCTTTCTGAATAAAAGCGCATCATCTCTTTAAATTATGGATATATTTAAACAAAAAAAGTGAGATGTAAAAAGAAAAAGACAAACAGTCTGTATGAACACATTCCTCACCTCTTTTATCAGTTTACTTGGCACCGACTTAATAATTTTCCCTGTAAAAAAGCAGACATGTAATCTGAGTGATGTATGGCTCTCCTACACACAGATACATCTTCATAGTACAAGTAGAGGTTAGCATGATGTTTGGCGTGTTAAGCAGTTCAAGGGAAATTCATCTCATTTATCTTCGTCACACTTTCCATAAAAAGTTCAGAGAGCATCTGTTTTAATACCGAGGTTCACGTCAGGTAGCATCTTGTCCAGGAACTGAGACTCCATGCTGTGAGGAGACAGGAAGTCGGCCAGCAGCTGGCTGTTACTCAGCTCCGGGTGCTGCAGGAGTTTCTGTTAAAAGGTGCACATAAGCAGAAACGGTGAGTTACTGGGGTTGTCATAGAGACAGATGCTGGAACTGCAGTTAAAGGCAGCAACCCCAATGAGGTTTTGACCAATGCAGACTCACTTCTGCATAATATTTTATAGTTACACAGCTATTTCAATTTGCAGAGGTGTGTGTTTGTCGTTGTGGCTTTCAAAGTTTTTTTTTGTTTTATCGTTTTATATTTTGTTCTGAAAACTTGAGCCATCTAACATGGGATGCTCAAAACAAACCATATTTTTTAAAACGCTGAGATAACGGTGGAGTTGTGATGTAGTTTTAACAACTTGTTCCTCAACAATAGAAGAGAGTGAACATCCTCCGGCTGAAATGTTGCACCTCAGCTTGCTTTCAGGACTAATTAAAGGAATCAGGATGATTTATCAGAATCAGATTTAGATCAATTTCAACTTCCTTCATTTTGAACTTGAGTTGAAATTTAAATTAATTTAGAACACTTCAGATTCAGTTTCAGATTACTTTAATGACCACACAGTAAGCCGGTCAGTACATGGTTTGAACAGAGCGTGGTTCCGTTAATACACTTAAGACACATAACACACAATACTGTAGAAGATCAGACAAGCATCTGCAGTGATGCGGGTGTTGTACCCGTCTGTTGTGGTGAAGAGAGAGCCGAGTCAGAAGGTGAAGCTCTTGATTTACCGGTCGATCTACGTTCCAACCCTCAACTATGGTCGTGAGCTTTGGGTAGTGACCGAAAGAACGAGATCACGGATACAAGCGGCCAAAATGAGTTTTCTCTGCAGGGTAGCTGGGCTCTCCCTTAGAGATAGGGTGAGAAGCTCAGTCATCCGGGAGGGGATCGGAGTAGACCCGCTGCTCCTACACATCGAGAGGAGCCAGTTGAGGTGGCTCGGGCATCTGGTCAGGATGCCTCCTGGACGCCTCCCTGGTGAGGTTTTCCGGGCACATCCAACTGGGAGGAGACCTACAGGTAGATCCAGGACACGTTGGAGGGTCTATGTCTCTCACCTGGCCAGGGAACGCCTTGGAATTCCTCAGAGGAGCTGGCCCAAGTGGCTGGGAAGAGGGAAGTCTGGGCCTCTCAACTTAGGCTACTGCCCCCGCGACCCCACTCTGGATAAGCGGATGAAAATGGATGGATGGATAGATCAGACAAGCTTAGCGACCCTCGTAATTTAGAAATCCTATGGCAGTCGGAATAAAACTGTTCATAAACAGGGTTGTTCTTGAAGCAATTGACCTATATCGTCTACCAGAGGGTAGGATTTGATGAAGTGTCCTTTTGTGGTGAAGCAGATCCAAGGAGGGGAGAGGCGTTCCAATTAGTTTTGATGCTCTGGTGGTCACTCGTTCTAATTTTTTTCTGGAGAGTTTGTCTCATTGGATGTTTGATTTTATTTTAAAGGTGGATGATGTAAGAATTACATTTTGGGTATGGTAGTCCATTCATCCAAACAATTCCACTCTGAGCAGCTGTTGCCAGTTACGGCTCTGCGTCAGAAGATTAGAGATGACAAGGGAAGACGAGTCATACACATTAAGTTGATAAGTAGATAAATATTGTAATATCCAGTTGTTGGCAACTGAAAAAAAGAAGCTTGAGATCTTTTTAGAGCTTTTTTTAATCAATATTTGAGTAAAACAAAAAATGTTTCACTTTGTTTTGCTTCTGGGTTGCTCCTTTTACTGGCTTTCATTCTTTCCACAACGCTTCTACTTTTTGCTGGTGTCAAATTGCTGTAATTTCCACATCATAAGTCGCTACTTTTTAAACTTGCTTTGAACCCTGCGGCTTAAACAATGGTGCGGCTTATCTATGGATGTTTTACAGCTAATGGTCACCAGGGGCCAGAGGTGGAAAGAGTACTAAAATTTCCTACTCAAGTACGAGTACCAATATATTGATCTTTTTTTTTACTCAAGTATAAATAAAATATACTCAAAGTAAAAGTTACTTAGTTACATTTTTGTCAGCGTAAGGATGGCTACATCTAAGTAGTGCAAAATCACAACGCCAGTTAGCAATTTGCTCGTATGTGCGCGCGCACCAAGCCCCCACAATGCGGGTGAAAAATTGAGGCCAACCCCGAAGTACCAAAAATTGCAGTTCCACCCTCATCCGCTGGGGGCTGGTGTCAGAAGCGAGCCAATCCTCATTGACTCCCATGTTAAAAATACCAATTTCACAGCAGAAATAAACATGTTTACAGCCTGGTTCCAAAACATGTTTTTTGTTTAAATGATGTAGTTTACACTCATGACAACTCTGAGGGGGGTGAATTTTTTTTCTCACTCTTCTGTTTAAGTTTATTAAAAGCCTAAAATTCTGTATAATTAATGAGCATCAGACCCACGTGACCACAGAGCTAGCTCCGTGGAAAGGCCTCAGTAGAGCCTCGGTCTGGCTTGGAAACTGCTCCGGGATTTTGAGTCTCTGTGTTTGTGTATTCTTTTTTGGATATTTTTTGTGCAATTGTTGGACAAAATGACTTGCTGTGGCATTACTTGCACTAATAGAGCGTCCAAGGAGTCTCCACTTCATTTTTTTCGTTAAGTAAAATTATATTTATGTATTTTAGGTCACTGCCGAGCTGAGCTTAGATTTTAACATGTACTGTTTAACCATGACATTTAAATGTAATAGGGTAAAACCCAGTGCATTTAACATAATGCTGCACTTTAGAAAATGGGTTGAAATATAACATGTTGGTGGAGCTGGGTTCCGACTATCGGCTTGTGGAGCTCTCAGGAGACCGATGTTTTCCACCCGGTTCTCCCCTCCCCGCAGCTCGGCGTATCTCTGACTCAGAAGCTCTGGTGTTGTGCACAGTTAACTCCGATTGTAGCTAGGTTGCTACCTCCGTTAGTTTAGCTCCCACCTCCGCTTTAGCTTCAGGTTAGCTTGTAGCTAGTTCGACCGAGTGTCGTCAGTTGATCCCAGCCTTACAGCCCCACCCTCAGCTCCACCTCTCTTCCCTTTTGTGGAATTGTCTGGGCTTGACGGAACCTGTGACACGGTCAAAATGGCGGTGGTGGCCACCTCCCATTTAGCCTCAAAAATGTGTTATTGGAGCCTTGTCCAATATTTATATGTCGATGGCGCGCACACATACACACACAGTTTGATGGAGGGATTTCTATCCAGTCAGTGAGAACAGGACGTGCACATTGATTGGACGAGGTTTTTCTACAATTATAGATTTTAATTGTGATTAAAATTATTCTTTATTTTGAGAAAAAATATATATTTTTAGCTCCCATCAGCATGTGAGGTATCTCAATGTTTTCATGACAAAATTCTAACATGAGACTGTGCTCTAACCTGTCAAATAACATAACAAGCTAAATAAAATTCAAACATTTCAGCTGCTAACGTTGGCCCTGCCCTACTTTACCTCTACATTACAGTTCCTTTATTCGTGTCCATCCTAGAGCTCCTTTCTGATTTTTAAAGTTAGAGTTCATCCTTGGTGGGTTCACTCACTCATTTAAACCTTCACCACAGAAATCAGTGTGTTCACTCCAGTCCTCCTAAATAATCCTCCAATCATCCAACTGGAATCCTTAAGGGTCCCGTAATGTCCATCCTGTCAGAACAGGCCTTGGGAGCCCAGGTGTTACTAGAACTAATGGTGTCTCCTCACCAGCGTGAGCCTCCACACTGTGAAGGTTGGTCTCCAAACATGAACTTTAAATTCATGCATTTATCTCCTCTTGTAACACTTTAACATGTTTTAAAAGGCTTGTATCATGATAAGTTACACCTCCCAGACCACAGATAGGTACAATATAAGATAAAACATTATCTTAGACACTATTGAGACGTCATTATTTATGAAATACAAGTTATTTGTTCACTATTACTTCAACCAAGAAATAAGATGCATGGATTTGATGAAACCAGTGTCTCATGCAGTCCTATATGTGTAAAACACACACACACACACACACACACACACACACACACACACACACACACACACTGCAGCATGTTAGAATCATTTAAATGACTAATTTAACTACACTGAACTGCTTTAGTAATAATTTAATCTCTTATTCTGGAGTAAAATAAATAAACAAGCTAAATCATCACATATCTGTGGCATCAAGGAGCAACTTTTGAGTTCAGACACAGGGATGGAGCACAATGTTTACACATGAACAGTATAAGGATGTTTTATCTCACAGAGGCCTGCAGGTCTTCTGTTTTATGAGCAAAGCGCTGAGAATCCGCTTGTTATGGGCACTAAACGGTAGGGAGCGGTAAGGAAACACATTTCAAACACGGAACCGAGTCTGGTTGCCGAACCGAGCAGAATTCCGATGACGTAACACCGGTGCGCGATGGTGCGGGTTCCAACCCACAGGAGAGGAGGGAGAGAGGAGGTAAACAGCGAGTGGATCACAGGGACTGAACTGATGTTTTTGAGCAAAACTGCGGTAAAAATGGCTGTTTGTCCTCGTTATCTAAACTGTACACCCCCCACGGTTTAGACACGGCGCTCATGCAGGCGTCTCTTTCTATTCCGCCGCTGCTACACGCAATATTTTTAATTTATTAAGTCTACGATTTATTTTTACTCAGTAACGAATATGATTTAAAATGTAGCGAATTACAATTCTTTTTAAAAAACGTACTCAAGTAAAAGTAAAAGTACAGATTTTCAAAACGACTTCAAAAGTATAAATACACAAAAAAGCTACTCAATTACAGTAATGTGAGTAAATGTAATTCGTTACTTTCCACCTCTGCCAGGGGCACACGATCAAGGAAGCGCAAGAGTAAGATAGTTCACGCAAGACAAACAGTTCGCTCCAGGAAACGACAGCAAAACAAACCACGTGAGCTCAAATGCAGCACGAGAGACAGAACGAGAGCGAAAACACATGCGGCTTATATATTAAGGTGTGCCTTATAGTTCGGAAATTACGGTACAAATGCCGATGCAGCAGCATTTACCGGCACAGACATGGCAACCCAGCGGGCTTGCATTTGACACATAACAGGAAGTATGGAGGAGGCAGAACAGTTTGTAAACAAAGACCACATCCCGGTTTGGCCTAGATTATTTTGTGATTATTTCACTTTAAAATTCTTAATTATTGCACCTTTAACATCTTCATTTTAGTTTTGGGAGTTCGTATCGAGTCGTCAGAGATCTACCTGAAGGTACTCTTGGAAGTCCTCCCGCTTTGATGTGAGAAACTCATAATTCTTGGGACCGATTATTCTCTTTGAAGGCAGCTGTGCATCTGGAAATGATCCTACAGTGGGTAACAAAAATGTTTAAAAATTATATCAATAAAACAATAAATTCATTTTTATTTCAACAGACAAATGGTGCGACTTCAAAAGGATGCAACAAGGCCATCAGCCTTCTATTTTAACCTACCATGAAACTCGGTGAGTTTTGATTCAAGCACATAGAACTCCAGGTACCTTCTGTACACAGACCAGTGCTCCGTCTCGTGTCCCACTGCAGGAAAAACAAACATTTAGGGTCTTTTTTTTTTTTACTGATAAGTTCAATTAGAAATCAAAAACTTGCACAGAAGCAGGCCAAGCTCTCTGGAAGTCTTTCCGTGAGGAATAAAGAAAAAATCAACCTGCTTTCCGATCGTTGCGCTCCACGTCAATGCAAAAAACTGGAATCCTTTCCCTCTTTGCATCATCGTCGTAGAAATCGATGTACGGGATGGTGATGCTCCAGGCTGAGAGGTTCCGAGGGGTGCTAGGGGTGGAGACCGCCTCCATGGGGGAGTCGTCCTCCAGCACCATCATGGCTTCCTCCACCTTGAACAAAGGAAAAAGAAAGATGAAGATATGGGACTAGAATTAATCACTGTGAGAACTAAGACCACAGCATGATACTGCCAACACCGTGCTTCACTGAGACGATTCTCCAAAATAAATGCACTGTAACTTCAACCAGAATAACAACGTCGTCGTCTTCCTTTGCTTATCCGGGTCCGGGTCGCAGGGGCAGCATCCCAACTAGGGAGCTTCTGACCGTCCTCTCCCCGGCAGGACCCCAAGGCGTTCCCGGACCACACTGGAGATGTAACCTCTCCAACTGTCCTGGGTCGACCCGGGGGCCTCCTGCCGGCAGGACATGCCCGAAACACCTCCCCAGGGAGGCGTCCAGGAGGCATCCTGACCAGATGCCCAAACGAGTCCCTTCCGAATGTCCGAGCTCCTCACCCTATCTCTAAGGCTGAGCCCGGCCACCCTACGGAGGAAACTCATTTTGGCCGCTTGTATCGGCGATCTCGTTCTTTCGGTCATTACCCAAAGCTCATGACCATAGGTGAGGATTGGGACGTAGATCGACCGGTAAATCGAGAGCCTGGCTTTCTGGCTCAGCTCCCTCTTCACCACTACTTTTTCGACTCATAAATGCCCCCATGTGGTGGTGACCGGAGTGGCACAAAGGACTAAAGAGGTTTGATGCTTCTTTTGCAAGTAGATTTAAAGAAAAGAATGTTTCTCTGTCAAACACATAAGTGACCCACATCATAAAAAGCCCTTTAAAGCTCTAGAAATGGCTTCTGGTCTCACCATATCATCCTCTCCTTCCACCAGCCCGTAGGACGGGAGCATGGCTCCCTCCATTGTTGTGCTCTTGAACACTCCTTTGATCTTACTGCCAATGCGACTGATCCCAAAGGACTCGCCCCTCTTAGACGTGTTCCTGCAGTCCAAACAGGAAGCACACTGAGCAACGGCTGATGGAGAAGATGTAAATGATTACAGCAGATGTCATGCAGCTTTTAGACTGGCGGAGAAGGAGGCATAAAGAAGAAGCAGCAGCACACTGTGTTGCATGACTGCAGTCGTCTGATGAGGACAATGGTAAAGCACCGCCATGGATGACACCAAAAGCAGCACAAAGCAGTGAATACTGATATTGTGAGTGAATTTTAACAAATGCAAATATATTAACGTAAACCTCACAGGTTCTCAGTTGTTAGATGACAAAACCTCCGTATGCAGAAGAGTCACTGCTTTGTTAAAAGTAACAAATCACATCAAAGGTGGATCACAAGTGGATAAAAAAAACACGTATCCATGCATTCGGCCTACCATGCAGGTATCTGCTTGGGACTGGGGTCAAACTGGGACCCATAATGGTCAGCATGACATCACACTTCACTGTGACACATAGATGGACCCTGACTTACTTGGGCGATGAGTGGCGGTGGGGTTGCGAGCCGTATGGGAAGTTTGTGAACTGGGCATGGAGGGAGTTAAAAGATGCAGGTGAAGAGCTGCCGGAGGCGGTGCAGAGAGAGGACGGGGACTCGGGGCTCCAGTCCCAGAAGCTATGACCAGGACAGGGTGGCGTCCCCCATGGGTGAGTGGCGGGAGAGGAAAGTCAGAATGGACATACAGACACGGCGTGGTGGTGGCCAGACAGAGATGGAGTAAGAGGAGGCCAAACAGGCTGAGTGGAGTTTCAGTCACAGATCTGAGGGCGTGTTAGCTCTTAGATGGGACAAATGCACCAGTAAAATCAGTCCTATTAAAAGTATAAACGTTGCTCTGGAAGCCTTTATAACCAAAATAAAAGCACAAACCCATAGCTATACATCCAGCTACTGATGACTCATGCAATGGTTGCAACATTCCCCAAATAAACTCCTAATCTTGCTTTCTCTGCATTTAGGTTTCATTTTCCAAACCCGCGCTCGTCTAACAGACCCAGATTCAGAGGATTTATTAATGAAGGCCATAGGTGGCCCTCTTTAGGCACGGATGAGGTGCATCTTGCGTGCAGCTCTGCTAAGCCAGTCACAGAGTTAATCAGCACACTAATGCCTCATACTCACCGGATGTCATCCAAACTGAGGCTAGTTCTGGAATAATATTCACAGTGGGTTAGTGGAAGGGTCCAGATACACACCACACCCCAAGATAGGAAGCACAATAAATCCTCCTCGATCTCTTTTTAGTTTTATAATCTTTCCTTTTTCATTATACTGCATAGGCTTGGGCTGCCCTGAAGCTAGAGAGCCATTGGTGACAATGAAATGTGACTTTTTACAAAACAACTAATGCTAAAGTCCATTTGATGTGACAGAAATTATAATCTTGTCTGGAAAAAATGTGTTAGATTGAGTTTTTTTTTCACGCTAAGCTTTTTGATTGTTCCAAAACCAAACGTACCTGCTCATCTTGGAGTTCCTGGTGGGGGACTCAGCCCCTCTTAGAAGCTGGCGAAAATACTGCAAAAAGACATAACAGTTTTAAATTTGAAGTTTTTCTAAGATGAAATGAGAAATAAATTTCATAAGAAAACTATTTTAAAGGAAGACCTAGGAGTTTTGGTTTGCTTTTGGCACCCCCTAGTGTCCGTTTGTAGAACCGAAAGCAAAATCTATCTCCTCGCTGTGCAATCGTCTTTAGCACCTTAATCTAACAGCTAAATATTTCCCCAGCCTTCGTTTGTTTCTACAGGAGAAGCTCAAACAGACCGGACCGTCACGCTGAAGTTGCAAGTGGAATTTTCTGGCCACAAGGGGGCAATCGGGACTGGGTGGCCTTTCATTACCCTGTAATAAGTCATTTTAGCACACACTGGCTCAAGAAAATTATTTTAAAATATGAAAAAAGTTGCATAGTGTCTTTTTAAATGCCTAAATAATGATTGAGTCCTTTATTTCGGATCAGGAACAAACAGCAATATATTATATTCCACAAGCAGGAAAGCGGTCTGCTGGATCGAAGCAGCACTCCATTCCACCCAGTTTTAGCCTCTGAGGGGTGAAATTGGGCTTGGCAGCTTGGCATTAGGCCAGAGACCGCTTATTAGCTACTTCTGGTGTTGATGACACGGCTGATGGTGGTTGGACAAATCAGAGAACAGCTGAGTCATCCTGCTCCAAATAAGCTGTAAATTCGACGATCACAATCATACTTTAAGCTCCAATCGTGTAACAATGATCACATGAAAATGTGAGAAAATAATGACGAAAATGTAAGCAAATTCAATACAAATGTAATTATTGCTATTAAGTTGCTGTGGACACAAACCTCATCGCTGTGGCAGAACATGGGAGTGAAAACGTTTTCCAGGAGAGAAAGGACGTGCTCGTACGCTTCAAACAGACACCTCATGGTCTGAAGTTTCACCACATCTGCGTACGGGCCCTCGGCAACTGAAAAAAGGAATACTTAGGAACATTTTTGCATTTTTACTTCAACGGGAATGGGATTTAAAATGTTAGGGTGAGGATTGGATTTGATATCTTCACACTTTCTGACCAGTTAAAGAGTTTAAGTAGCCGTTCTGAATCACTTTGTGATTATCTTTCAAAGTGAGATAATCAAAGTAGGACAAGGGCATGATGAGATACTAATGTTTTAATGCTGTTGTTCCAAATGCCTGATTTTAATGCTTTAGTATAATGAAAAGGGGCACGAAGTAAGAATGCTATCTTATGGTCAAACGTGGGTACTGCAGCCCATATACTACGACAAAAGGTGTCCACTCCCACCCCACTCCGCTTTCGTGAGTTTCATGGCTGTTCCCAGTTCCCACTATGCTCCTAACTCACCGGTAGCGTTGCTAGCTCTTCGTTAGCCTCTAGCTTTCTTTACCTGATTTTAAAGTAAAACAAAAAGATACACTGGCTTCTCAGGGGTGCAAAAATAACTTCTGAGTCACTCCGGTTACTGGTTAATATTTTGTCCACAACTATGGTGCTTTTTGCCGGCTGGTGTTAAACCACAAATCTAGACCAACCGTAGCAGTGGCAAAAGATATCGGTCTAGCCATGTTCCATTGTACCATCAGCAGGTCCCATCAAGTTTGTGTCCTTCCAATCACAGCGTCCTATTGGACGGGCTTAGCACTAGAGCTGGGCTGCAGGAAAACAACAAAGACGGCGTCGGCGCAGGAACAGCGCTTGTTTGAAACAACTTCAGAGGATTTAGACTTGAGCATGTCTTCGAGAAATGACCAGAGAAGCACTTAAGTCATTTCTTTGTAAAACGATACATTTACTTCTTTTTCTGTATGGCAGGCTGCCCTTTTGACTGATTAGCTATTAATACGTCATGTTGTCTGTTGATCTGATTGGTCCTAGCGCAGTCCAATTGCGCAAGAAGAAATTTTAAATGACAACCGTAGATGTCGCCCCATGAATGTGTTGTTTTAATGGGTCGTGGCCAGACTATATATTTACATATATAGGATGGCCTGCCAGACTAACAGAGTGTTTTGTGAATATTTTACAGGAAAATTCTTACTTATTGCACCTTTAAGCAAACATAAAAAGCTCAGACTATCAGTTTGGCTTGTCTTTCTGCAAAAGAAAGATGAAAATTACTCCGATTAAAGTTTCACTGTCTTTTTTTACATACTGATTAAGACGGGCGCAGTTTGATTCAGGTTTTACGTACTGTTTCGTATCTCTTCCACTATAAATGGGTCAAAGCGGATCTTGTCAATGCTCTCGTCCAAGCAGTAGGTCTCATAGATCTTCTTCACTTCTTCGTGTAGCATCATCTTCTCCGAGTCTGACAGCTCTGGGCACAAAATCCTGTCGTTGAACTCCTCTGAGAAGTTAGAAAAGACATTGGGGCTGGTTTGTTATTGCAGACAAAAAGGTTGACAGAAGGCCAAAACTTTTATTTTTACTAGACCAGAATCAAACAAGACATACTCACCAACTGCAAGACAGAACTGGAGCACGTGGACGGCTCCCTCTTGTTTCAGGAAGTTCATAAAACGAAAAAGAAGATCTTGCTGTTCTCTAATTTCCTTTAACTCCAACTTCAGAACCTAGAGTAAGAAAAAAGCTAAGTGTTTATTTTGCTTAAAATTATCCCACACAGCACCAACCTGCTTATTGAGTAGGAGGCGGCATGCTTGTAGCCTTCAGGACATGAGTTATTTATAATTTCATGAATAAATTCACTTACCGAGGGCTTTTTGTTGCGGGAATCAGAGTACTTGTGTAGAAACGGGACCAGTGTTGAAGCAGGTTCTGTGGCATCTTCAGGCTGGAGAGAGAAAAAAAACAATCTCTCTTCTGTCCACAAATGACATTTAATCTGCAATATCACATTTAAAGTTCAAGGAAATATACTTACTGGAGAACTGTCAATAAATATTAAAATTAAATGATTCACTGTGTCCTGAAACCGGGAAAAAGAAAGATAAGTCCATCTTAAAGGCTCACATCAAGATCATCCAGAGTATAGTTACGGTTTATTCTCTCAAGAACAAGAAGCAGCAGAGAGGCTTCAGGGAGGAACAGTTCTCACTATCTGTCCTTAACACTGTCCACACTCACAGGGTCAGCCAAGTAGTCCATTGAAGGAAGGAAGACAGAACCAGCCAAGACTTCCCTTATCAGGAGAGAAAGAGATCTGGGAGGAAGGAAGGTAAAAAGAAGCAGGAAATTAGATAATAGGTGTGTTTCCGTTACCGGAACATCAGGGTAAATTTACAGGAACATCCCCACATGCGTGTGTCTCCACTTGGCCGAATGGCCGTTTTCAGGAACCTTCTGGGTACCGGGGGTAGGTACTTGGAGTGGCCCGGTAAAAGGCCCGGTGCAGTTGGTGGGTGGGTGGGAACGCCGCCGAGTGGTTGTAATGCCGTCAGAAATGACATCAGCTTAGCAGGAAATAGGAAATGCATACGGGGCAGAGAACCGGCATTTAGGAAAACACGAGTGGTTGGCACGTTTTGTACCAATCTATAACACAAGCCACAACTAGGCCTGGGACGATAACAAACTTAGCTGGATGATATATTGCCAACAAATTACTGACGATAACCAACATTATCGAGACCAAAATAACCACTTATGTAATGCTAATATATCCTAATAATGCAAGTACACCTATAGAATGAAACTATTCAACCTTTATTTAACTTAGGTGAAATATTTTTGGCAGTAATGAGACGTCTGAGTTCCACTTGTTTCCTTTGAGGTCGTAGAGATCTACGTTACCGATTGTGGACAATTTCTGAAAGTACCGATCTTTAGCCTCCTTCACAGTTTTATGCGTTCGTCCTTAATCCATCCTTCTGACTCTTGTTCTGCTTCAACTTCAGCTTCCCCTAGCAATGTGAGTCATACATGTAAAACAGCGCTAAGGGGGTGTGGTTGACATGCAGGTCACGTGTCTGACAAAGACCGACAGTTCAAGGCTGGAAGAACTATGGAGTTCATTTTCATCTATCGTACGATTTAGTGATTATCGTCTCAGCCCTACTCACAACGCGGCGGTCGCGACGCGCTGGCGCTTTAGCACGGGCCAAACTGTAAATGGAGACACGACAGCTGCGGCGACCAGGCCTTCGGATCTCCTGGTCAATTTCCCCCTCGCTAAATGTACCCTAATGTTCAGGTAATGGAAATAAAGGTATTTTTCTGTCTGGTGTCAGTAATGCTCTCCTTCAGCGGTGCACAAATGAAAACACTTGTTTTGTCTCATATTTTCCTGCTGCAGCTGTTAGTTACCTGCACTCTGCAGCTTTGGGAGGCAGGATGTAAGGAAAAAGCATCTCGGTCAGATTTCTGAGGTAGAGGAGCTCATCTCTGCGACTGCGAAGAGCCACGTGGAGATCAGGACCATACTCTTCCAGGGCCGCTTGTTGAAGACACTCTGCATTCTTCACTGCTCCAGAAAACACGGTTAAAAGAATTCTTCTGTAACAATCGGAATTCAACTCGGGGATAAAATCAGCCGCACCTTTCTGCCTCGCCTTGCTGATGATCTCAATGTGCTTCATGGAAACTTTGAGAAGCTTTAGTGTGATGACTGAAGCCACATCCACCTAAAGAAAGAGACGTACTGATGAACATTTACTCGACTCGAGGATTTTTCTGTCGTTAAGTCTTAACAGTCTTAACCTTCTGGGTTCGGCGAACCAACACAGCCGCGATGAATCGTAAAGTCACCCTCAGCTCATCCACGAACGCTTCATCATCTGTGATTTCTCTGAAAGAATACGTTCCATCATGTTTTAAATCAATCACCATTCCATCAAAATATGAATAAAAACCAACTAAAGAAGCAGCTTACCTATACCACGGATGGACAAAGTTTTCCAAAACAAGCTCCAGGATCTATTCAAACAGGAAATGACATGGATTAATGATTTAATAGGTGTATTTGTGATGAATATGGTTATGCATTACCTCTGAAAGAGAAGCATCCACCTTGGAGGAAATTTTCAAATCAAGCCAGGGCTGATAGTTTTCCAGTAACAAGGTCGGTCTAAAAAAAACAGTATTGTTAATTAAAAGCAGCATTAAAGCCTGTTTATTTATTCCCTGCATGAAATATTGTAAAAATGCGTATCGATAAAGATTTGTTACAATTAGAGATGCACCAATTCAGGATTTAGAGACCAGTATCAATTTTTCATATTTTTTTCTTTTTGAACAGCTGTGACCCAACTGACCTAAAAATTAGGGACGGACAATATGTCAGCATCAATATCAATATCGGCCGAGGGGCTTCCGGTCTGGCGGGTCGAATGATGGCTGCCTAAAGCAAACGCTCCCGACTTTTATTACTCGTTTTCCCAACGTATCGAACTCAAAACCTAAAAAACATAGACTGAAAGTGTTGGGTATTATTTTTTTGCAACAAAAATGCCCAGGAAATCCAAGAAAATCGCTTTAAGAGAACGCAGTGAAGTGGAAGAACATGCTTCGTCACAAGCTAGCAGTAACATGGAAGAAGAGCAGCAACCTGGAGCTAATGCTAACTTGAAAGACCACCCCACTACCGTGAATATGACATTGAAAGAGTTGCGTGATTTTAGAAGTTGGTTGTTTTCCAACACGGCAAAGGAGAGGGGAGCATGGGCAGCGGACGGCGACACCGTCCTCTGCTGCCCGAGGATAAACGGAGAAGGAAGTGACGCCGACAAGAGCGGCAAGCTGTGAGGAAGGATAGCGCGTTAGCCGAAACGTCAGCAAAAATGAGGCAAAACGACTCTTTTGCTGTGTTGGAAAAAGAACCAAGTGATGCAATCTACTTGTGTTTTGTGGATTTGGAGAAGAGGTTCACCACCCTCGGGGGGGCCCTGTGTGTGTGTGTGTGTGTGGGGGGGGGGGGGGGGGGGGTACTCCAGGAGTATGTGGTACCAGGCCCTCTGACACGGGCTGTTAGATCCCTGTAAGCCGGTGTCAGAACTTAGTATGCATTGCCGGCAGTAATTCAGGCTCATTTCCGGTGAGAGTTGGAGTCCACCAAGGCTGCCCTTTGTCACTGATTCTGTTCATAATTTTAAAGACAGGATTCCCTGGCGCAGCCAAGGTGTTGAGGGGATCCACTTTGGTGGCCTAAGGATTGAGTCTCTGATGATGTGGTCCTGTTGGCTTCATCAGAACGTGATTTACGGCTCTCACTGGAGTAGTCAAGTGTGAAGCAGCTGGGATGAGAATCAGCTCCTCCAAATCTGAGACCATGGTCTTGAGTCGGAAAAGGGTAGAATGCCTTCCCCGGGTCAGGGATGAGGTCCTGCCTCAAGTGGAGGAGTTTAAGTATCTCGGGGTCTTGTTAACGAGTGAGGGAAAGATGGAGCATGAGATTGACAGGCGGATTGGTGCTGCGTCTGCAGTGATGCGGGCATTGTACGGATCTGCCAAGGTGCAGAGCGCTGAGCCGGAAGGCAAAACTCTCAATTTACCGGTTGATCTATGTTCCAACTCTCATCTATGGTCGCGAGCTTTGGGTGGTGACCGAAAGAATGAGATCACGGATACAAGTGACCAAAAATGTTTTTCTCTACAGGGTGTCTGGGCTCTCCCTTAGAGACAGGGTGAGAAGCTCGGTCATCCGGGAGGGGCTCAGAGTAGATCTGCTGCTCCTCCACATTGAGAGGAGCCACTTGAGGTGGCTCAGGCACCTTGTTAGGATGCCTTCTGGGAGCCTCCCTGATGAGATTTTCTGGGTATGTCCAACCGGGAGAAGACCTAAAGGGACCGTGTCTCTCGGCTGGCCAGGGTAGGCCTTGGGATTGCCCCGGAGGAGCTGGCCCAAGTAAATGGGGAGAGGGAAGTCTGGGTCTCTCTGCTTTGGCTCCCACCCCCGTGGCCCGACCCAGAATAAGCGAGTTCACAGACCAATTATTTTAAATCAATTTATATATCTGCTGGGATTAATCGTTTATCCTGTCAACTCACCTGTGGCGTTTGCACTTTATTTTTCCACAAACTGCACAGCTATGGCCCTGTGGGAACAGCTCCTGCAGAAATGACTGAAAAGGGAAGTTAGCTCCTCCAATGAACCCAAAGCTGTAGAGCTACATGATGTCTGTAATGCATCAGGTTGTTGTTGTTGTTTGCTACCTACCTTTGTTTTTGGTTTCATCGAGACCAAGATGTTAGGCAGCAGGGACTCGGGTCCTAACGAGCAGTAAAAGGTGACAACTCCAGCCAGGAAGGACCAAAACACCATGATAATGTGAATATGTCTGAAAGCACATGGATTGGAAATGTTGCAGCTTGTTTTTGTTTGCTCTGTGACACGCATTGATCAACCTACCTGTTTAAAAGCAGAGTGGACAGCAGTAAGACCAGCAGCAGAAAGCAGAAGACGGGATACTGTCGACCCAACTCTCTGACCCGATCCAGCTTCATCCTCTGCCTTATCATCCGCAGAAAAGCTCTGACGCACACCATCCTCGGCTGTTAGCTTACTTCATATCACTGATAATAAACAAGACAGCAGAGCGATCAAACAGGAGACAAATCGGGCTACAATCCAGCGCATTTTGTGAGTTTAACGTATTGATCAGGTAGAGAACGTACAGTCACAGGCGATGTTTTGATATTTCTGGTGGATTTCCACTGGAGTCCATCACGAAGTCACAGAAAAAAGGTCCAAAAGTCAGTTCCGTTGGCTTCGGACAGGCGTGGTGGCTGTTTGCAGCTGTTCGGTGGATTACAGATGATCACACCACATCGTTGAACCACAGACGTTCGGAAAAACTAGCAAAGATCGGGGTTTGGGGCTATAATGGCTGCGGTGCGGTGCTCTTGCTGTCATCGCCGTGTCCACTGAGGGGCAACGATTACTGCTGGCTGATATCAACGCTGGATATTCGTGATGTCACCTCCGCTGCTGCGCCCCGAGCAGAAGCTGCTGTCGCGTAATTCTGGGGTTTCTCACAGCAAATGTGGCAAATTCGTGTTTATTATCTGGAAAAAAAGGCATTTTCTACTGTGTCATTGCTACTAGCTAGTAGCGCCACTGGTGCTGCCCACAATTTTAGCACAACTTAAAAAAGCAAAAAACGCGTGTTTTGCATTATGTATTGGATAACCTGCAGAGTCGGGGTGATCCAATTCACCCATCAACACCCAAAATAACCCTTCTCGGTGGCCTAGTATCCACCTGGGACTGGGAGGTCGTTCAAATCATACCAAGAATTTCAGAATGGGAGCCAGGCTTCCCGCTCGACTCGGGGATTCTGTAGGAGGGTTGAACCGCCAAGTAGCTCCCGAGCGCAGCCATTGCTGCAGCTTCCCACTGGGACGGGTCAAATGCAGATTTAATTTCACGATTTCTTTACTAATGGGGCTTTCAGTCATATTTGTAAAGCTACAATAAGTGTGTAGACCTGAGAAATTTTCAAATAAAAAGTATAATTGTTCAATTTCACAACGGAATAAATCATCTCAACCACATGATTGCAAATCAGCTTGAAATTTATGTCTTGTAGTCAACTGGTGAGTTATTTCAGTCAAATCATGGATAAAAATTATTACTGTTTTTAAACGCACCATCGCCAAGTTCTAATTCACACTAGCAATAGCAGTGACGGCGCACATTACCAAGAAAATAATGAAAATGTTCAAGTTTTGCATTTTTAACAGCGTGATAAAAAAAACACACACACACACACACACATGGAGATTATTTTTATCCAAAGAGGAAGACACAGATAGAAATCAAAAACTTTATTACAAAAATAAGTTACACTCACCTCCATTTTACAGTATAAAACAATTTATTTGCAGGAATGCAAAAAATGTTGTTGGCCACCAACAATAGTTTAAAACTGTTAACTTTTTTTTTTCAAAAGGTGGTTATGATGATTTTACTGAGGGAGTTAACTGTGTAGAAAACTGAGATTGAAGAACAGTTTCCTTTATGCTATACTTGGAAACAAATCATTCACTGCAGTATCCCTTCAACCACTATAGGGCTGTAATCCCTCACCACATCACAGCAGCTCAGGTTAGGCACACACTGACTGGAAAATATGGCAATTCAGTCACCCACCAAGGTTCACTTCCAAGATGCTCTATGTAGTCGCTGCCTTGTGAGCTGGGAAGGGATCTTCTCGATTTCCATGATCTTATGGATAGTCTATTCTCTGATTAGGGTGGTTATTGAAAAATGTGTTTCATGAGTAAAAACCCCATTGGAATAATAGTGGTAACAAAAGGGACACTGCAGGGCTTTATTTTTGTTTTGTTTTCTTTCTTTTTTTTTAATCAAAGGCAGTTGGATGCCTGTGATGTTTAAGCCTTTACAAAACGTAACATTTTCCGAAAAACTATACAACCAGTAACTACATACTCTGAAGAAGCAATGCAGCTAATTCAGTTCAAAATAGGATAAAAGTAGGGCTTGTTTAGACTCATCATATGAGATCGTTTGCATGCCCAGCTTGACTGTTTGCAGTCTGCAGAGCTGCAGCTAAAAGGAGTATATTACTTTAAGTACATCGTTTTTGCGCTGCAGCTCTTGTGCATATTTTGTATGAAAACAAGCCCTGCTTTCATCTATATAGTTTCCCTATTTACAGTACAGGCCGGGTAGTTTAGTCCTCTGTACTGAGGTAGTCAACCAACCCTTTAAAGACATGTTCTTAAAAGAACCACTTTCCTGGAATGCCTGACTTATCCATGCCAGGTGGGTACACCTTAAAACCCTGCAAATGTTCGATTTCAAACATCCAGGTCAAACAAAAACAACATGGATACTCCGACAATAAAATTGCAATTAGCACAAAAATATACAATAGTATCAAGCTCCTTTGAGCCACTTCAAACCTAAGAACTTAAAAAGTGCAATTTCTTCAATAATTATTATTTTTCTTTAAAATGGCATGTTTGGGGCACAGGGAAGGGGTAGATTGTAAGGGCAATTCATAAAGCCCTGAAAATCAGGGCAACATACAGGGAGACTGGGCAAAGAGGCTGTGGCGAGTGTTCAGAAACATACGGCCGTTTTTTTTTTTTTTTTGTTTTTTGTTTTTTTAAGGTGGCAGCTTCTGAGAAAAAAGGTTTCTAAGAATAAAAAATGGGGTAGGGGGAACTTCTTCTGTAAGGCTGGAATTTCATTGGACCTTTTTGTCGTGCTTGTTGTCATGTCAATATCCATTGCAGCTTACGGTGTAACCCCACACATCAAGTCAGTATCCACTGTGACAGGTCAGGACCGCCCTCGGCCCCGTTTCCCTGCTGAAAGACAAGAAATTAAAAAGTTATTGCAGGAAATCAGAAACAGACTGAAGTCCAAGTTTAGCCACAACACTGAGTTAGGTAGTCATGTTATGGCGGTCATAACCAAATATCATTCACCTCTGATTGTTCCTAGGCCTCCTCGCTGAGTGAAGCCCACTCGGCCCCTGGAGGTGATAGAACGAGGGCCCCTGGTCTGAGCTCCACGAACGCCTCTTGTTGCCCGTCCTCTGCCAGACCCCTGGAAGTCCTCGTAGCCATAGTAGGGGTCATCGTATCCTCCCCGGTAGTTGTGGTAATCATATCCATAGTAATCGTAATAGTCTTCATAGCCATAGTAATCAGGGGCATAAGAATAGCCTCCCCGCCCACCTCTTCCTCTTCCTCTTGTGGGTGGTGGCATGTGAGGAGGCCCATAATAATAGTATTCATCATACCTGAGGATGAACGAATACATTCATCATAAACATGGGAAAATGCTGAAAGGCAAAGTTTCAATGACCATTTAGTCATCTATTGATGAGAGATAAAATGGGTAAGTAGTTTAACCAGAACATGTGAAAAACCACTGAAATCTACGTCTCCTCTGAACGGTGGAGGAGTCCTGGTAATTACAGGCTGCCAAAGTTAGCTTGATTTGCATTGTTCTTGCTTACATTTGTGTTTTGGCGGCCTGTCTCTGGGCTTTCCGCTCCTTCCTCTTCTGGTCAGGGGGCTTGGCAAAGACTATTTCAATGTGCTCTCCTTCAAGGTCTTTGCCATTGAGCTCAGCTAAAGCCTGTGAAAATCAAAGCCAGCCTAGATTCAAAGGCGTTCCCACTACTGGCACAAAATTAACCTGTTCATTCACCCAACGGTTTTACTAAAACACCCCTTTTTGTTTTCGTCATACCTTCACAGCAGCGTCTCTTTCTTCAAAGTGGATAAAGGCGTAATCTTTCAGTTTTTTCACTCTCTCCAGCTTGCCAAATTGACTAAATGTTTTTTCAAGCGTCTCCTCTGTAACGGTGGATGCCAGGTTCCTCACAAACAGCACTTTTACCTGGCAGGAAAAAAGAAAGAAAGAGTGTTTTAATAAACTTTTCCACATGCATTAAATCATGCACAAGAGAACAATATAATATTGCATCGCTCACCTTAGCCATGACCTCTGGATCCGGATCCTCAATAGGATCAGCCCACTCCACAGTGACCACATTTCCCCACACCTTCACCTTGCCACTCATCAGCCTGCGGCGGGCTTGAGCCGCCGTCTTGTGGTCTTCATACTCCAGGAAGCAAAAGCCTCTGTTCTTTTTCTTGTCATCTGGCTGGTGGTATAATATGACATCATTTAGACCCTCTGTAAAGACAAAAATAGACGAAACAGAGGGTTTAGAAGGGAATAACCGTTTTTGTTGCAGAGGCAAAGCTTTCAAATAAATGTGGTAAAAAGCTAAAAGCAAAAACAATCATCCGGTTAGATGTGAGCAGCAGACACTCAGACTGACCATCACTAAGTTTTAGGGATAGGATCACCCTTCAAACACCAAAAACTAAACACAATAAATCTTCCTAAAATGCTTCTTAACTGATAATAAAAGCAGTACTAACTCACCAGTAACTTTTGCAAATTCTTCAACAATTTGCTCTTTTGTTTTACTCTTGGGGATGGATCCAACAAATAGTCTGTTATTGGCCACAGAGATGCAGACGCCAATGTGTTTACCTGGTCGGATTTCATTGTTGTTGCACTGTGGATGTAGAGTAGATTGTCTTTAGTTTTAAAGAATTCTTAAATTGTACCAAAGTTTAAGTTAAAGAGCAAGTCACCCCAAAATCAACTATTTTTTCTGATGAACTATATAAATGTGTGTCTAATCATGCTGCAGACACGTGTAGTCAATAGTTTTGCACTTTAGTGCATTTTAGTTAAAATTAAAATTTTCTGCCTGAAACTGTCAGTGTTGTGCCGTTGTCAGGTAAAAACTCTTCACTGCATTTGAATTTAAATCTGCCACCGCTGTTGGCTAAGAGGTATGCTATGATGTAAACTGGTAGATTATGATGTCACAATGTCATGAGTGTGTGTATTTGTTAGTGGCTCCACCCTCTCGGTTTGCTAGGCAACAGCATTTGTTGCATTTTTCAAACATGAAGTGGGAGTGAAATACACTTCTTGTAAGGGGTGACTTGCTCTTTAAGTGTTGGTTTTACAACTTTTAGAATTCAACAAAGCTTCACTATCCGCATGATGCACCATTTTTAAGTCGATTTTCTAAGTTCTACTTAATTTCAATTAAATCATGTTTGGTTATTTTTTTGTTCTAAATGTAGAAGAGGTTTTACCAATTTGACAGCCTGCTGTGCAGCTTCCTTAGTGCAGTAGGTGACAAAGGCATAGCCTCTGTTAAGACCACTGAGAGGATCCATCATTAAACGCAAGTCCCAGATGGGGCCGGCTTTCTCAAACAGGGGAACCAGTTCATCCTCAAAAAGGTCTCTGGGAATTTTACCTACAAATATCTGCCAAGTTTAAACAAAGAGGAAATATGCATCATTATAAGGTAACGAAAAAAGGCGAATTACATTTTGGAATTGGCGTCCAGTCAGCTCTTAGCGGTAAGCCATCACTGTAACCGTGGTTACTACAGAGATCAACAACATTTCATCATTCGGACACTTTAACCAAATGCACTTAATGTTAAAGAAACAGCCAGATGTTTTGTACCTCAGTACCAATGGTGGGTTGTCCCCCTGAGTGTGCACAATCTGGTGGAGGACCACCATACTTCCTTTGTCCTGTTGTCACATCAAGTGTGTAGCCAGTCCTCTCCAGCAAAGCCTGGAAGAAAAGTCAATTAAAATGAAAACTAAACAAACCTAAATACTAAAAAGCACCAAGATATTTTATTATGTACACAAACAGCTTCAATCACAAAACGGTTCCATTCTTACTTTGATTTTGGCTTCATCTGGTCCTTTATTGGTGTCAGACACTTTGGTCCCTTGTTTCTCTCTCTGTCTGTATGTCTTCATCACGCCACAAAGAAAGGCACTTTTGTTCTACAGGATACACCAATGAAAACCACATTAGCAAATGCTGTTTCAGGAATTTGGTAAACCAGAACAAAAAACTAACATATGGTGTTCCAACCCACAGAAATCCTCTGTATTGTACCTCTAAGGGGGTTTCTCACCTGAACATGTGAGAGGTCGCTGTCCTTAAACTGCAAAAGGACTTGGAGAGCACCTTCTTCGTTGAACTCTTTCAGAGCCTCAATCGCCCGGTCATCTAAGTCACTGTGGGACACCAAACCTGCAGATTTGGACAAAACAGAAAGATTGGCATCAATAAGAAGGTATGACTTAATTATTTATACATAAAAAAAACCTACTGAAAGACTCATTTACATGCATATTATTTCATTCTACAAATAATTCTCAGATGATTTGATAAAATGTTGTTTACTACATAATGGGGGGTGTCGCAGCCTAATCAAGCCTAATCAAATGACAGGCTGCTTTTTATTTTCTGACCATTCAGTTCAGCAGAAATAATTGCAGCAGATGCGACAATGCAACTCGATCTGCCAGTGCCCCTCTTTACTGAGGTTGGGAGTTTTTAAATTAGCTAGTCAACATTTTTGTATAGAGAGGGGCCATCACCTGTCCGAGGCAGCTACACACTAAACAGCTGCTTCCATTGTTTCTGCTTCAGACCCATCTGGCCCGAAGACCAGACATTCTCTGGAAGTGACCAACTAAGTCACTAAAAGATGGTTAAATTAAACAAATGTTCAAGATCTTCCAGGTTTCAGATAAAAATATTGCATAAACATATTAAACTGCAATCAATAAGGTGAAAAATGATGTGCATGCTGATCGAAATACTTCTGAAGGGAGATAACAACATTGGGAATAGTTTACACCAATTATACATAGCTTTATATTTTGAAGCACTGCAGTACCCATTTTGCTTGGAAACCACAAAAAGTTGCTTCAGAACCCAATTCCCCCACTCAAAACGGAGATGAAATGACAATACATGCATGAATTGATACAGGAAAAATTGCATATTGTATATGCAAGTATGTTGATAATGCCTTACCTGCTATGTAAATTTCGTCTAGTTTTTCAGCAACTTTCTGTGGTAAACCAGCTTCTAATAAAGTCTGGAAGTGCTCAGAATGGGTAACTGCAGCAGAGGTGTCCATTGGCTCTTCTGGACCATTTCCATTTATATGTTCTGTGGCCATGTCTCCAGAAATCTGTATAAATGCAATGAGCCAAATTAATCCTGGGTCAAGGGGAAGACTTTGGACGTGTTCAAGAGAGTGGAAAGTCTCAGACTTGTCAGCAAAAATCATTCTAAAAATAAACATGAATTTCTAAACAAAAGTGAATTGTGATAGGGGTAATGCACTTCTAAGTCCTAATTGTTAAACAGCAGGTGCTGGCAGATGTGAAAAGCCGAGGACAGTTTTCAGTATCTTGACTTAATACCAGTAACTTTGAAAAAGCACTAAATTTGGACATAGACACTCTGACATTTTACACAAGACAGAATGTACAAATCAAACTGTCCACAAACACAGTTAAATCCAAAAATTGCTTCCTGATTTGTGGCGATGACTTTTTTCCCCTAAATCTTGATCTTCTTAGTTGTAGCTTCGGTAGAAGTCTATTTTTCTCCTAATTGCATGTTAGCCTCTTGGTGCGGACTCTGACACAAGCTAGATGGCAGATATGTGTTCAGAGGGAGTCTTGGTTTCCGGTGACTGATCAGTAAGTTAAAATTAACGCACCCTACGGCATATTTGTTTATTGACACTGTGGTAGCACATACTAAAAACACCACGTCAATTACTCCTGTAATAATGCTAGCATCTAACTTCACTATACTCCCAATTCCTGTTTTGATTTAATTCAGAACATACACTTTAGCTGAGGTGAGCAGTTTGCTTAATTTAATAAAAAACTAACCAAAAATATGTTTATTACAAATCCGCGCTATGATTAATTATTTCGATAACAATGTATTGATATCGAGTATTCCGTTTCTGATATGCCTGTTAAGCATTCATATAAACACGTGCTTTCTGTGGTTAATACATTCCTGCTTTACAAACGACTAGCTATAATGCTAATATTATTACATATGTATTACATAACGTGTTCAAATTCCCATACGTCTAATGTTCTCGGTGTAGATGCTAAAGATGTCAGATTTCGCGGATAGGGACAGACTCGCAAACGTTATTAGCAAGCTAGCCGGCTAACGTGCACAGCTAATGGTACATTATCGGGACAATAACACGAGACGCTATTATGCATTTTCTGTAAGTGCTAACACTGTTGCTCCGTTTGTAGACCGAGGCCGTGTTTGTTTGTACAATAATGAGCCATGAACACCAACTTTGCTAACGTCACAGGCTCGCCTGGTTCTATTAGCACAAAATGACAATGAGCACGTCAGATCCATGATCTGTCAAAATGAGCTAGCTGGAGCTAGCATGCTAATTTGAACGGAGTGTCAGTGAGGCCATTGTTAGAGCGTCATGTGTCGGTGTAGACTTTACCAAGTGACAAGGCGCGACTCGTGTATTTAATCACACCAAATAAGGAGCTGAAAGCTAAAACTTTAGCCTGCCAAATGCGTGGTTAGTCAACGTGCCGCCACATAGGAAGAGTCCATTTTCAAAAAGCCGGTCTGGAGAACTCATCCACCACCAGTTTCCACATTGTTTGAAACAGCACCACGCGATTCGGAGTTTTTAGCACTTAATAAAGCGACATTAACCTGACCAATTAGAAGCATTCGCCCTACCTGCCGCTGGCACACCAACGTGTATGGTGCTGATTACACAGGAAGATAAATATGATATTTAAAAGACTGAAAAAGTGTAAAACTCCCGGCACTGGTCCGACCCCAGTCATTCACTCTTGATGATGTAAAATGGCTGCCACGTTCACGCCTCGAGTTTTGTCTCGTCGATGGGGTTTCTCGGACTGGGTAGCACGGGCTTGCCTTGTATGCATGTTGGAGTGGAGCAGCAGGTCATCCGCAGCGTCCATCATAATTACACATATGAGTAATTTCACTACACAACCCTTCATTCACCATCACGGAGGCTTCTCGCGACTCATCAAACCAGATGGAAAGAGCAAATAAGCGAGGTTTAAACACAAAGAATAAAATAGTTTATAACAAAGACATTACCAGTAATATCTAGTCGTACTTTCATAAAAATTGTTTAAAATATATTAAAATAAGTACTCCACAAAAGATATCTATTTTTTTTCTAATTTAAGACAACTGTTTTAAAATTTTGTGAGAATAGTAGCCATAAATAATTTACAATTTAATATAAAGCCTGGAATGAGACATAAAATCAAAGTGAAAATGGAAAAAACAACAACAAATATTCATCAATTCAAGAAAAATAAACATTTATTGTTCAGAGTTATACTGAGACACAAAAATATTTCAGTGATCTTGGACTTGTTTGTGACACAAAGCAGCTAAAATTATTTTATAGTGGGCTAATACAAAAATATTTATCTTATAACATCCATCCATCTTCTATAACCGCTTGTCCATGCAGGGTGGTGGTGGGGGGGGGGGCTATCTAGCAATCTTCGAGGTACACCCTGGACAGGTTGACAGTCCATCGCAGGGCAACACAGAGACACACAGGGCAAACAACCAAGCACACACACACACATACACACACCTAAGTGCAATTTACAGAAACCAATTAACCTGACAGTTATGCTTTTGGACTGTGGGAGGAACCCAGAGAGAACCCAGTCATGCACAGCAGAACATGCAATTGCAAGGAGACTGCAGAAAGACCCCAGGCTAGGATTTGAACCCAGGACCTTCTTGCTGCAAGGCAACAGTATTAGTCACTGTGCTACTGTGCAGCCCACTAACAAAACATATTACAACAAATAAACACAGAATTAGTTCATTAGTTAATTCTAATAAAAATATGCAGAACGACCGAAAAAAGAGATAAAAACTAAAACTGACCTTATATGGAGCGAGTCAGTGATTTGAGCTGAACCTTGCAGCCCTCCAGAAACACAGGTTTGTTCTCTGGCCACTGCACCAATGTGTGAATATGAGATATCTGAGATATTGGAACAAGTTTGGCTCTCACGCCAACTGGGATCAGCCAAAACATCTCCCATGCATTGTGGCGATGATTTGAATAAAATGAATGCTTTAAGATACATAATAAAAACCACTAAATGAACTAAATGAATGAAAAACATATAATGTATTTCTAAATATCTGTAGAAATATCAACGGGAAACACAAAAACAACCAGTTTAGAGTGTGTTTGTGGGTTGGAAGGTAACTCCCACTTTCTGCCACACAGTGTCACTCCTCTCTCACCACTGGGATCTTCTCTGCCAAGAAAAAGACTTCAGTAAGGCTTCAGTATGAGAAAGATCTGCTGGAAAAAAGTTTATTTTTCATTTTCAAGGTGCACACTAAGACTTTGTGCAGAATCATTGTAATTATAATCATTACTGACAAACAACTTTCTAGTCAGATACCATAAAAAAGAAACATCATGGTTTAGGAAAACTTCACCTTCATAATCTGTTTCATATGGTACAAAACTGATTTGTGCTTAAGTCTTCACACATTAGGTCTTCCTTTTATAGCCGTGGAGCTGCCTTCTATAATTGCGGAGGGAGAAATAATGGAGTTTGAGCCATCTTTGGTTAAATCTTATAAATAATGGGCATGCTCTCTCACAATATCTCCATATCTGTGAGGATGTGTTGTGAACGATGCTACTATCAGACTAAATCTTAGCTCATTATATGTGAAATTTGAGTTATAGACATTGTTTCATGTCTGCTATGGTTAATTAGCTCTGTTGGCCAACCAGAATTGGGTTAACTCCAAAAGTTAATCGGCTCATATTCAAGTCCTTTATTTAACAGGAACATTGCATAGCACAAACTAGCCAATGCAATGCATTAGAATAAACTTTATTAATCCCACAGTGAGGAAATTCACTCATTACAGTAGCATACACAAGAAGAAAAATAACAAAAGTACAAGTAAATTCACATAGGCAGTTGTAACCCTCAAGCACTAAAAACAACAAATAAAAATGAAACTTGGGTTTCCAGAAAAATGCAGCATAAAGGCCACAGTCACATACTAAAGTACATCCAGTACTGCACAAGTATAGAACACATACTGAATACTACGTTGCATTGATGCAATTGTGTAAGATAATGCCAGTACCAGTTAAACTGTGGAGTTATACACTTACGTGAGACTTCTTGCAAACAAAAACAGTATCACCCTCCTTTCACATTTCAGCATTTGGGACAAATACAGTAAACAGTAAAATTATAGGTAGATCTTTCAAATTTTCTGATTTGCTCAAGAAGACATCAAGTGTTACAGAAAAATGTGTTGGACTGTTCTCTTTCAATTTAGCTTTTTTGTCCAACTTAAATGTTTCCGCTCAGCAAATACATTTCAGTATCAAACACATAAATAAATTTATCTCCAGGGTGTTCTGGAGAAAATAATTCATGGTTCCATCAGTCACAGCAAGTGGTCCAGGTTCTGAAGCAGCACAGCAGCCCCAGACCATCACACTTCCACCACGTCTGACCACTTGATGTTGTGTCTTTTACAGCCGGCACACGTCAACTTTTGTCTTCATTCGTCCACAGAATTATTTGGGATTTGAGCATGGACGGAATTTTCACTTTAGAAGTGTGTGTGTGTGTGTGTGTGTGGGGGGGGGGCACGGGGGGGGGGGGGGGGTATCTTTACAGTATGCTCTAATGGGAAACAGGCTTCAACACAAACGGTTGTTTTCCATTTGGTCCTAGAGCTCAACCAGTGTCAATTTAATATAGCGTAATATAGTTTTTGGATGGTAAAAAGTGCAGGGGTCAAAACTTGACTTTGGAAAAAGTGGGGGGGACATGTCCCCCCCTGTCCCCCCCAAAATTACGTCCATGGATTTGAGGGACGTTTTACTCAAATGATCACAGAATACATGAATAATTTTTTGTAGCTCTGCAAATTTGGAAGTTTTTTTTTCTGGAGTTCAGAATGTTTTATTATTATTATTATTATTATTATTATTATTATTATTATTATTATTATCATCATTATTATCATCATTATTATTATATATTTTTCAATTTTTTACTGCTAGTCTACTTGCCTTTGGTTCTCTGCCGTTACTGATCTAATTTTTTTGCACATGAAAAGTGTTTGCATGTACATTTTCCTTATTGTCTGTGTGGCCTGGATGAGCTGCTCCTTTTGGGTCAAAACCATCTCTCCCTTCTGCTGAAACAGATCTATTTATCTGACCAGCGTTACTTTCAAGGCTACGCCTACGCGGTTTAGGTATCTGGCCTTATTAATGAACCCAGAGAGGATGAAAAACTTAGCAACACATTTTGTTTTATTAAACAAGCCAATGGTGAAGCAGGTCAGTGAGAGGGGTAGGACACAAACAATGACGCTAATCCTCTAAGCAGTTTTAATGAACTCTCAGATTTAAGACGTATCTCCATAAAAGTGAGAGGATCTCAAATCAGTTTATCTTCAAACCAAGATTATGATTGTATTATAGTTTAATCTGGATTAAACCATCAGTCGTTTGCAAATGAAAATTAGAAGATCTGCCTCTATTTTGCTCCTCCTTTTGCCCACACAGTCATGGATTTATCACCAGAACAACCAAGGACACATGAGCAATAAAACTGAGTCATGAATGAAGCCCAAAACAGATTCCTATTAATTCTTGACATTTTGGATGCAAACTCTCATCAGTTTATTAAATAAGGTTCAATCATTCATCTGCCCTGGATTTGAACAAAGGTCAACCGAAAGTGAGAGAAATACAAACTAACATTTGAACATTTGAAATGCAAGCTTTCATATTTGTGATTAATAAAAAGGCACGTCTGACATTATTCAACTATCAAAAGTACCCTAGAAAATGCATCAAAAAGGACGATATTTTATGTGAGGAGAAAGACTTGACGTTTTTGCAATTAGCTCAAAGTTGAGAACTATTCCATGAAAAGTAAATCTCCTCACTTCCAAGGAGTGGTTTGCAAACATTTTTAAACATAAACAACTCCCAGCATTTTTTTTTCTGTTCATTTTGGCCTAAAAACACATTTAGTGCAGCTTGTGCAAATGCAGTGAACCAAAACACTGAAGAAAAATCCCTAATTATCGTGCATCTCTTTGTCGTGACCCAACAAAATGATAACAACCCTTTGTTACCAAGTAACAAAAACCCAGGGATTACATGTAAGGTTCACCGTCAGGATGGGGGAAGTATATTGAGTTTCCATGACTTGGTCTTATCATTTTGGGCTTTGAAGGGATTAGTGGAAAGGGAGCAAGGTAACCAGAGAATCAGTGAGATCACGGATAAGGTTGGTAGGTTTCAACTAATCCAGGAAGTTGTCGAGACCACTGGTATAAAATTAGATGAATCGAACCATGAGTCCTCAATATAAAGGATTCCTGGGCAGAGGCGCAATGATAGGACGCTTTCTCTCATCATGGTAAGGCTCTAATCTATTGGAGATTTTCTTGCGATGTAGCAGAGTGTTGATGTTGATTTGTGTGCCTGTTACCAGGTTTCTGCAGCTTCTACCACGTGCTCCGTAAAAGCAGCAGGAGTGTCTGTTCTTCTATTGTGTTTTCTACTTTACATGGCCGATTCATACCCCAACATCGACTCATCAAGCAGTAAGGATTGCCTAATTATTCTGCAAATTCTTCTGTTACGTTTCTTTACCTTTACACTCTTGAGATAGTTGTTTAGATCTGGAAAAAGTCCCATTATACATTGACACAATGTTTTATTTTGTTGCTTTCTACACGCGTTTCGTAGTGGGCTGTGAGGAATGCAAGCTGACGCTGAACATGTTTTTTACGACGGATCGTCCAATTTATCAGTGCATGGGCTGCTGCTTCTCCAGAGCGTACCCAACACCTCTCAGCACCATGAGGACGATGACCGTGCCGAAGAACATCACTTCAGAGGCAACATGCTGTGTAGCAAAGCACAGCTATGAGGTAAAGTTGGTCTATCATGGTATAATGCAAAGCTATGAGTTCATTGTCCTCTTCAAGCTTCTTTATTCCCCATCTGCTCTATTTCAGACAAAGGTAGCTGACATAACAGTGAGAAACCACACAGAGTGCCACTGCAGCACCTGCTACTATCACAAGATATGACAAAGGGAGACTTGACAACGTCCTCCAGCGCTCGACTTTACCAAGACTTTGTGTTTCTTTCAAAATGTACAAGCTCTCCTGTGTTTTAAACCATGTGCTCTTCACTAATTCAGGATAGTATTTTTGTAGTGGGTCTGTGATTGTGGAATTAGATTTGTGTTTTTGCATTGTTAAATGTATTGGAGTAATTATGCATAGATTAAATAAAATGTGCTCCAAGAGGCGTGTGTGGGTTAATCCTGAGGGTTATGGGTGTTAATTTTGCCAAAATGGGCAAAAATCCTCAAATCCCCCCAAAATTTCATTTATTAGTCATTGTGATGATTATATTTTGAAATAGAAAAACGTATTGTGTAAATCTCTGCTGATGTGAAACATTTATAGGGTTACATACATTGAGAGAAAAGAGTTCAATTCCCTAGATTTGTTTGGTTGATTGCTTTATTGTCTTGGTGTTGAGAAATAAGATTTGGTCGGTTTTTAACAACCTAAGCTGGGTTAACTCTTTAATCCTCAGAAATTACTGCATCCAGGTAAATTTCATGTTTACTCATGAGTCTGATCCTGAGATCCCAGTCAGAAACAGTCAGTGGTGATTCATGATCACCATTAATTTAGAGCAGTTTTGATCAATTTGGTGGTCTTCTGCCCCTTATGGACTCAAGCCTCTCTAGGTTGGGCCCAAAGATGACCCCCCCCACACCTAAATAATACATTTCTTTATTCTGTTGTTGTTTCTGGTACCGATGCTGCCTCCCAGCGAAATACGACACAGACAAAAACACCTGCCACCACAAACTGGTGACAAATCTCCAACATTATTCTCAAATTTTGACAAAAGTTGTTTCCATAGGGGCACATGGTGAATTCGACCTGAGTTGAGATTTTCTCGTTTTATTCCGGAGTTTGGTCCACTTGGTTGTCCTCAGCTGCAGGAAATGGCTGACAACGTTTGATAACAATCATTCTTGATGTACAAGTTTTAGGAATGATTGAATTGAGATGACTGAATGATTGTGGGACTGGGACCCCTCCAATCCCAGAACTCCACCTCTAAATTTCCCGTTTTTCCTGTTTTCTGGAGTAGATTCTTCCTTTCAGACTTCCCCATTCTGCCCTTACACCCTGCTGTCGAAACGCCTCTTTTGTTGGCATCAGGGGGTATTATGTATGGGGAGCACACTCCCTTCCCCCTCTTTGCGTGCGCGTGCGTGTGCCAGTCTGGCAGCGTAACATCTGTGCGTACGCGGTCGTGATTGTTGTGAAGATGGCGGAGGGGGAGACAGAGAAGGAATATGATACACGGAAAGCTATCGAGGAGCTCCAAGAGCGGTTCCAGGCTTTGACCACGGCTTTAAGAGAGAGTTCGCAGTCTTCGTCGGAGGCTTCCCTGCATTTCTGCCAGGAATTCTGCCAGGTTAGCCCGTTCTCCTCCTGCTCATCCCGGGAAGCCTGCAGCCCCTCTGGCTTCCTGGCCGAGGATGCGCGTCTACGCTCGCTACAACAATGTAGCTAAGAAGCTAGCAGCCCTGCTAGCTGCCTCGCATTTCAAGATGGGGGGAGAAAAAAAACTCCCTACGGGTTACCTTTCTTTCTCTAATTGACGAATATGCGTGACATGCACTTATTTGCAAAGCCTGACAATTCAAGAGGCGTGTGATCGCTGCAGTATCTGCCAACGGTGCAAGCATTACTCGTATTTTCCAGGCCGATGAATGTAGCTAGCTGGTATGCAGGGTCCCCCTGTCCTGTGCAGTGGTCATGCTGTGCAAAAAAAAAAAAAAAAAAAGAATAGCTGCGTTAGCTAGATTTTCCTGTGCTATTGCACTCGCGTGCACCGGTAATGCGCGTTTGAAGTAACGGGAACGCTAAACCGGTACATCTGCATGCTGGATTGTGATGTTATGAAATTAGGTTAGTTTTGCGAGGGTGTTTCATTGAAAAATGGAGAGCGGTGATTTTTTCTACCTTCCAGGATGCTAACCCGGGCCTTTTGCACTAATTAATCCAGCTAATCAAGTAATCGCAGATGTTAATTACACGGTTATAGTCATCTTCTCTAAAACGTTTCACATTGGTGTTTTGTAAAACAGAGCGCCCCGCCTGCCTAAAAACGCTGGTTTTGGAGGGGAAAGTGTGCCAGTGGTCACTGACTCCATTACATCCTCCTCATTAATTAGCTGGAGGTCTCCATTTGTTGGCGAAGCAGGACAAATTATTATAATCTGAGCCAAATTATTCTGATTTGATGGACTTGTTATTGCTGTTTAAGCATCTTAACTTTTAGATTATGTTCATATCGATTTTTCAAATCTGTTTACAGTTTAGTCATTCAAGAGAGCTCGATTTAGTGTAAAATTTACACACTGAGCAACACGTTCAGTTGTGTTATTTTACATTTCATTTGAATGCATTGAGGAAATACCAACTCTGACCAAGTGCCATCACTAAGCATGGATTTGCATGTAATTACATTCGTGGATTTGGTATCAATAATCTATGGAAAATCTGAAAATCATCACACTTTTGTAATTTGGCATTAATTAAAATTACAACTTTCTTTAGCTGTTGATTTGTTTTAAAATGTACATCATCTACTGTCTAGTCCTAGCCTGGCAAAACAATATAGTTATTTAATTATCTGCAAAGCAAGAATTTGGTCTAGTTCACTAGGCTTGTCCAGTCCTGCTGTAGACATTCGTCCTAAAAGGAAAATATTAACAGAGATGCACCAATTCTGGCTTAGTGAGCCGATACTGATGTCCTATTTTTGAACAAGTCTGACCTCTCTATACAGATTTTGTGCAATTCCACTTTATCTCAATAAACGACAACATTAAAATCGTTGACCCGTGGCGACACAAATCAGTTGATTTCTAATATAATGGCCGATATGCGCTGCTGATTTAGGGTCATTTTTGTGGCCTTTATCTAGAAGTTTTGCAGCTTTTTTCATGCAAAAATGTCAAACTAATAACATCGGTATGTCGACAACAATTTTGGGCACTGCACTGCAGTACAATCAAATATTTAAACAAAGCTAATAAACCAATAAACTGACCGTCTATTAAGTATACATGACAGGTGAATAAAAAAATGTTAATCTATATTGATATCTATATATAGATATAGATACAGAAAGTGTTTTTACCCTTTACTTCTTATTTAGATCTCAGCTGCTGAGCTTGCAGTACTTTTTTCAATCCTTCAAAATAAGAGTCTCTACTCCAGTCTAAATTATTAGGTATATAAATATATGAAACAGTATAATAATAATTTCCACCTCAAAATCACTGATTATTTAAGTATCTTTTCATGTAATTTCAGACTGATTTATGCTTTTTTGTTCTCACAGGTCTTGGTGGAACATGCAGGCCGTTGGAAAACAGACGAGGACCCGCTGCCTCTCCTGGAGGTTTACACAGTGGCCATCCTCAGCTTCGCGAAGGCTGCTTCCTGTCTCTCCTCCGAATGTGAAAACGTGCCACTCCTACTTGAAAAGTTAGCGTTGTGAGTGGAAACTTTTACCCAATACTTCTTATGTCAGGTGACTGTATTGACACACATCATCTTATACCATACTATAAGAAAAACGTGCAAAGTCAGTGAAAAAAGCTCATGTGAAGAGTTTGCAATAAAGATTTGGTTGCACACAGGCTGTGCTAAACATGAAACATTATAAACGTTGCAGCAATGGTCTGCGGGGGCCACTGAGGCAGAGGGACACTGGAAGGTGCCACATATTTAGGACGTGCTATGAAGAAATACAAAGTGATGTCGCTCAAATTTAAATGGAATTATTTGTCCAGTTTTGTAAAATTCTGCCAAATTTGAAAATAGCTCGCTCCCCAGAATTATTATTTTTAAATTGAGTAAAAAACTAAAACATTTCAACTGTTTCAACAGATAATTTTCATTCCTTCCTACCAGTGGCATCTTTAAGCAAAGCTGTGAGTTCCTTCTCAGGTAGTTTTCTTTCCTGCACACATGTGAGAGGAATGTTTTTTCAGGTGCTTCAACATTACTCAACTTGGTAGAATTTCATTCCAGTTTTCCATCTTTTATGTGGGGCAGGGTTATAGAACCCCCCCCCCCCCCGAAACATGGAAACCTTGCACCTTAGGCGATCATGTCTGAATCTATATGTTTCTTGCTATAGTTGTGGTTTGTAGCTCAACAGTGTTCACCGTTTCTTCCATGCATATTTCTACACTGGTGGTGTTTTGTAGAGAGTGTGCACATCCTTGACCTGGATCTGGATTTAACAAATGACTCTTGGATTCACAGGAGCTGTGCGGAGCTGCTGCTTTCAGTGCCCCAGCATGTCCCTGGTGCCTTATGGAAGGAGTTTCAGTCCTCCATGAAGGTCAGCATCCTCCAGGCTATCAGATTTTTACTAAGCGTTGCATTAATAAGCAGTAAAAGAAAGTAATAAAGACTTTCTCAGTGTTTAAAGTGGTAAGCGTGATTGGGATAGTTCACTCAGGTCTTTTTTGGTCATATATTGTGGCCAAAACTTGAGATATGTAATTATTTGATACGTTTTGATGTTCTGCTGCAGTTGGCACACGGCCTTTTGCAAGAAAGTGGGAGCACGCAGCTCCGGCTGCTCTCAGTTCTGGCACAGCAGGACGGCGTCTGGGCCAACAGCACATTAAGCAGCATCCTGTCCAATCAAATTCCTCCAACCGAACAAGGTTAGTCTTAAATGTACTCCTAATGGGTTTGAGACACATCACAGTGAATTGTGCTGCTGTTACATCGTAAAATAGGTGAATCGTCTCATATTTGTGGTTTTTGCTCCTTTTTTATGCTCTAGTGCACGAGTATCTTGAATCAGAGGGTCCCACACTTGTCAACATGCGAATAAAGCACCTTATCAAGGTCGACAGTATCGATAAAGCGGCTGTCCTCGCGAAGATGTGCTCAGAGTTTCCGGGGTATGAAGGAAAAGGGAACTTCAAACCGACCTACTTGCTTTGCATCTGCATGACAAAAAGCCAAGAGCAACTGATGGAAGAAGTAAGAATGCTTTTTAGTTTCGGACACGACGTTGACGCAGCAAAGGATCTGATTTTTATTTCTGGTTTTGTTTCGTACTAGATCTCGCCGGTAGACTGTAAGGACGCTCTTGAAATGATCTGCAACCTGGAGTCGGAGGGGGACGAGAAAGGAGCTCTGTGCTTGTGCACGGCCTTCCTTAAGCGGCAGCTGATCCAGGGAGACGTTTACTGTGCTTGGTAAGTGTTGCGGTTCCTTTCGCGAGGAGGCGTCGGTTCATTTCACTCGTAATGTCGAGCACCGCCACAAGTCTAGCTTTGTGACAAATGCACTCAAGGGGTTAGCCCGAGGGTAGGTGGAGCAAACATTTAGGCGTATGAATAAACTTTTTATCTGGAGTCAGGGATTGGTTGTGTGAGTAGCCCAGCCCTCTTTGTACAAGTTATTTTTGGATTCAACCTAAAACTCCATTCAGAGATAAACATTTAGCTTACAGAGAGAGAAAAAAGTGGAAATTTTGGGATAAAAAAAATGAAAAAGGCATTTTTACAGTAGCCCAAATAAATAATTATTGTAATTCTTGACCAAAATTATTATTATAATAAATTAGTATTCTGGGTGGGCTTATACTGGGTAAATTACAAAATTGTAACAACAGAAAGTTTTTTTTTTTACCCTTTACTCCTTATTTTGATCTCAGCTGCTGAGCCAGCAGTATTTTCTTCAATCCTTCAAAATAAAAGTCTCAAACCACATCTGATGCTTGTTAAAAGGTTTATCCTTTGGGAAAATCTCTACTGCAGCATAAACTGTTGCTGTGTGTGTGTGCTGAAACAGTCATTTAAACTTGAAATAAGTCACTATGGTTCATTTACACGAGGTATTATGTTTATTTATTTGGCAGACGCTTTTATCCAAAGCAACGCACAATTTCTAACTTATAAGGCATGTTGTGATCTGTGGGAGGAACCAGAATACCCGGAGGAAACCCACTCATGGATGGGGAGAACATGCAACTCCACGCAGAAAGGCTGCAGCCGAGTTTTGAACCGGCAACCTTTTTGCTGTGAGGCAGCAGTGCTAACAACCGTGCCACCATGCAGCCCCATTAGTTTTGGTTTGGTCTTTATTCTAGTGCTGGTTTAGTTTTTTAAACTCAAATCATTTTCTGGGGAAAACATTTTGATTTGAAGCTGGGAAACCAACAAAAAACGTTCGTACTTAATTGTTTCTTATATAGTCCTAATATGCTTTTTAAACAGTCATAATCTGTAAATCTACGGGACATCATGTAAAAGATCTCAGTCGTCTTAATCTCAACAGAGTCTTTCCAGCGTGTGCAAACGTGCAAACTATTAACATTTTTGTTTCTGCTTTCAAATTTCCAGTTTTCCAACAGTTTCATAAAAGTTCTAGTCACTGCTTCCTTTGAGGGGGAAGTGTTGGAAACTTTGGTGAAAAGGGAACATTTTACAAACATTTTGTGCATTTCTGAAGGATGTGAAAAGAAATTATAAAAGCTTATTAAACTATAATAAATCTACGTGTGGAAAAGTGGTTAACACGTTTTTTCAGTGGTATGCAAAGTCACATGTTGGCGTCAGCGCTGGAAGTTTTGACCCACTTTTTAACTCCTGGTTAGGATGATGGTCAGACTCTACACTATATGTGTTATTTAACACAATTTTTATACAAAATACACTGACTTTGCTTCACGGGAGGTGCAGCCTGTTCAAATAGAGTTGTGAAGATATTGAAATGATTACAGCCAAAAGCAACAGCGTGTCTGAAGTGAATGTGAGCGGAATGTCAGCGGTAACTGTCTGCCATCTGCTGAGTATCATGACAGCTGCATGGGCTTTTAACTTGATACTCAAAAGGTGATTTTAGCTCGGACACTGTCCCTTAATAACAGTCAAGAAACTAAAATGTGAAGCCAGGTCAAATTAAACTAATTTTACATTCTGAGTAATTGCATTGAGTTGACCTTTAGCTGTTAACATCTGCTGGATCCAGTTTCACAAACTGGCACAAAATATGAGAAATCTGTTCGCCAGTCCAAGTAAAAACAATAAAAAGTGGCACTTTCAACAGATTTCATCCAAACACTCCTGGTTTCAAATAATAACAAGAAGACTAGCCATTATCTTGACTTTTATTAACTCTTCCAGGGAACTCACTTTGTTCTGGAGTAAACTGCTGATGCGGTTAGAGGCTTCAGCTGATTCCTTTCTCAGCCACAGCAAAGAGATGGCTCTCCTCTGCAGAAACGTCTGCCACATCCTGTTTCTCATCAAAGTAATCCAAAACGAGGTGAGGAAAAACAATCCTCATGTACATAATTAACAGGCAGTTAGTGAATATTTCACTTGGTTTATGCACAAAGATGCACAAAGAGAAGGCCTCAGATCTCAGTGTGTTGAAATAAATTCCTTGGTATTAACTGTATGTTTTGTTCTCCCTCTCGTAGGTTGAAGAGGTGGGGCTTCCAGTATGTGTAGAAATGTGCATTCAAGCTCTGAAAATGACCTCCACTGATCATAAAGACAGCAAATCTACCATCTGCAAGACTATTTCCTGCATCTTGCCAACTGATCTCGAGGTTAAACGTGCATGCCAGTTGACAGAATTCCTCCTGCAGCCTACCGTTGACTCATACTATGCTGTGGAGTCACTGTACAATGAACCCGACCAAAAGCCAGAGGAAGACGGGAGTCTGCCAGTGCCCAATTCTTTACGCTGTGAGTTACTGCTGGCCTTGAAGACACAGTGGCCTTTTGATCCAGAGTTCTGGGACTGGAAAACGTTGAAACGCAACTGCTTAGCTTTGATGGGTGATGAGGCAGCTATAGTCTCATCTATTGACACACTCAATGACCCAGATGATCACGACGTGGAGAGTGCACTTGGCAAGCTTCCTGAATACAAAGATCTAGAGGACTTCCTCTTAACCACTACAAATGAACTCAATGAAATTACAGACGAAAAAGAAAAAAACAGAGAGGCCAAAAAACTCCGGGAGCAGGGGTTCGTGTCTGCTCGGTTCAGAAACTGGCGAGCCTACATGCAGTATTGTGTTTTGTGCGATAAGGAGTTTTTAGGTCACAGAATTGTTCGTCACGCTCAAAAGCATTTCAAAGACGGGGTGTATCTTTGTCCAATTTGTGCTGACGGTTTTGAAAGTAGAGAGATTTTGGAACCACATGTAGCATCACATGTCAAGCAATCATGCAAAGAGAGACTGGCGGCAATGAAAGCTGCGAGAAAAGTAACCAAACCATACCAGTCCCCGAAAAGTCCGACGAAGTTCCCTAAGGTCACAGCAAAGACAAGCATGAGTCCTCTTAAATCCGAACCGCAAATCAGTCAGGGTTTGGCACCCCCTGTTAAGATAGAACAGACTACATCCGACACTCAAATGAGTCAGGACTGTTTCTGTCCTGTGAAAAACTGCACTAAGGCTTTCAAGTTTTTCCGTAACTTGATGGCTCATGTCAGATCCCACAAGGATGACGACGAGGCCATGAGGTTTTTAGAGATACAGAAACAGAAAGTGGTGTGTCAGTACTGCAGAAGGCAGTTTGTCAACGTCAGACACCTTAATGATCATTTGCAGATGCATTGTGGCAGCAAACCATACATCTGCATACAGCTCGATTGCAAGGCCAACTTTAATTCTAATTCTGAGCTTCTCATGCACAGAAAAACACACCCTGAATTTAAAGCTCAGTGCATGTTTCCAAACTGTGGCCAAGTCTTCAGTGAGGCCTACTTACTATATGACCATGAGGCTCAGCATTACCTGACCTATACCTGCCAAACAGATAACTGTGGCAAGATATTCTACTGTCAGTCTGAATTTTTGGCTCACCAAGACCAACACAGACCAAACAATGCAGTCAACAATTTCATCATTCTGAACCAACCCCCTTCTGCCGCTGCAAATGTACAACTGCCGCCTAACAGCACTCCAGTGAAGGAAGAGACCCATTCTGCTATTTCTAGCTTTGACAGAAGTATTACAGCGGTTTGTACAAAAGAAACAGCAATGGCAAACATGTCACCATGTAGATCAGCTGAGGTTGCTAAAAAGCCTGTTAGCAAGAAAGTGAAGCACTCGATTGAAAACATGCTAGGTTCAATGGCAGTTCAAGAGATAAAGGAACCTGAGAAATGCTACACTCCACTCACCAGTTCCACTCCAGCACCTGCTGATGTGAATCTACCACCAGACATATCACATATGCATCATAATGTGACAAGCCATGGGAATATAACTCCAGTGAATCCTGTTCCTGCTGCAACAAATCCAGTCGCAAGTCCACAGGATCATCTTTGTAATGACGTACAAGGCAGCAAATTTCCGAAGGTGCTACCACAAATAATGACTCCAAGTCAGATCAAAACTGAAATTCCTTCTTCGCTGCAGGGCTATCCCTCCAGTTCACCCGCTGTTCCTGCAGAACGTGAAGAGAACTTGCACTGCTGCCCAAGTAATGAATGTTCTCGGGCGTACAGTACAAACAAAAGTCTGTCTAGGCATGTGAAGAAGCAACATCCAGAAATTTTCGAAGACTGGAAATTGGCTAAAAAATATAACAAAGTGGCTAAAATCACAGCAAGAAGGGGGAACAGGCCCCCAAATAAGCCAGGGGTTCTATGCAACAAACCGGGCATGCAGCAGATGGATTATTCAGCAGGTTGCTCAGCGCCACCAGCTGAGTGTTTTCCTGGATCCGTTGAGCCTGTACCTATTACTCCAATGGTCAATCCAACAATTTACCCATCCTGGGTTTGCCAAAACAATCCCAGTGTAATAATGCAACCAGACATGTCTCAATCCTGGTCTCCGTCGCCTATGAATAACTGCTATCCTGAGACCTTTAATATGAATGAGTACCCCCCTCGCAGCTACCCCCACTGGCAGGCTGACCCTTATCAATCCAACTTGCCTCACCCTTCTGACAGAGATCATTCAGTGGCAGCTATGCACTACTCTTCTGTGTCACATTCTACTTCAGATTCAAGTTTGATGTCCCAGTATGTATCCAGCTCACTAATGCTTGATAATGGGGGGCAATTGCATAATGGAGGACATCAGTATGGACTCATGCATTCTGACAGTACTGGGGAGAATGCAGATATGAGGAAAAACAGTACAAGCATGATAGGACATTTGGATAATGGAAACAGTATCTCAACAATTGACAGCCTTCCCGATGGAAGTTACCACACTCCGTATGCTCAGAGTGAAAACTCTTGTCTCACTCAGTCCTCATCAGTTGATATTCCAATAAAAAGTGTCAGCCCAGAGGCTAAAAGCTTAGAAAAAGGTATAAATGTAATAGTAAAATCGGAGAACCCATCAACGCCTGGATACGAACAGATGGAAAACTCTGTGGATGGCATGCTCAGTCCGAACAGTGTCATTCACTCAGATTTTCCTTACGATGAGGATTGTCCTAATGCTGACTGTCAGGCTAACAATTCAGATGACAAGACTGGCGATGCCGATGCCCAAAAAGGAAAACGCAGCAGGCTGAGCAAGCGAACCAAATGGCCCGCAATCATTAAGGACGGGAAAGTTATTTGCAGGAGGTGTTTCAGAGAGTTTACCAGCACCAAATCTCTCGGAGGTCATCTTTCAAAACGCTCACAGTGCAGACCTCTTGATGAAATTGACCTGACAGCAGACCTGCCGACGTCATTTTTGGATTTCCTTAATGACCCCCATGTTCCTGACACTAATGGATCATTGTATAATTTGCCAAATGGAGGATTCTCTGAGGAACCATGCAACTTGACCACGATGAATTCACCTCTGATGTTGAAGAAGGAACCCCAGACCACAAACATAATGGACCATTCAAAACCCTTCTCAGCTGGCCCTGAAGACCAGCAAGAAAAAACACCCGAGCTGGCTAGCCCTCCAGTTGCTGGATGTTATCGGGAGAGTAACCTGATGGAAGTATCACATGGATTTCAAAAGATGGATTTGATTGAGGCTGCGCAAGCAGCACAGGAGAAAATTCAAAATGTCTTGGCCTTGGAGCAAAATTCTACTCAAAGCAAGAAAACCCCTGAAATAGAGAAAGGTAAAACACCAAGTAAACGTGATGGGAAGCCTACTGAGAAGATACCTAAACCGTTTAAGTGTGACCAGAATGACTGTGAGTACTCATTCATGACGAAGGAGGCTTTATTCAAACACTTGTGCAAAATGCATGATTATACCAGCGAAATGATCGAAGAGCTCAAAAGAACCCCATCCAAACTGGCTCCATATCCATGTCAGATTTGCTCAAAAACGTTCACAAGAACAACGGGGTTGAGAATTCATTATGAAAAAGTTCACCGTCTGTCAAAGTCAGAAATGCAGAAGTTAAGAATCAATGCTCGAAGTCGGCGTGCATTCAGACTTAAAGATGGTTCTGTTAAAAATAATCGCCCAAGCACTGAACCCAGCACCAGTTGCACCAAAAAGTCTGCATCTGTGATCCCTATTTTAAAACAGGAACCACTTGACATTGCAATTGCACCTCAGCCGGTTATTGAAAGCAACCCAAATCTCCCTGACATCCCTTCAGGAGAGGCTGTAAAACGGATCTCGACACCAGAGATGTCAACTGTTACACGTCTACCGTCTCCACAAAACTATCTGGCTGAAAGGATGCATGAAGACGTGGCACCTCCTGCCCTTGAAAGGCCTCCAGAGCAACCTAAGGTATCTGTCACAGACAGGAGCCCAGAGGTGAAAGTGAAAGTCAGTGTGAAAGAAAAATTGAGTCCTTTAGCCAAAATAAAGGTGCAGCAAGAAAATTCTGATATGTCACAGATTAAAGTAAAAGAACCAAAGCCCTCCGCAATGTCTGCTTCGTCTTCTACAGCTTCTGCATCATCCTCCCCAGAGAAACCAAGCAGCTCTAAAAGCACACCAACAAAGGAGGAGAGAAAAGAAAAAAATCAAAAAAGGCTGAGTTTAAAAATGTGCGACACAGACAATGCCTACAGCCCGTATAGACCTTATCGCTGTGTTCATGAAGGATGCACTGCAGCTTTCACCATCCAGCAAAACTTGATTCTCCATTATAGAGCCATGCATCAGGCATCGCTGCCCTCAAGCAAAATCGAATCCGAGACAGAAAAGGTCGCTGTTGTTGATAGACAGGAGAGCATTGAGTGCATAGGAAAAGATGACGAGGTCAGGTGTCAGGTAAGAAATTGTTCCAGGGTGTTCATGGGTATCACAAGGTTAGTGCAGCATTACCTCTTACTTCACAAGTTCACCTGCGACAAAGCCACTGCCATGATGGCCAGTATGACCCTAGGAACGTTTAACTGTGACCGCCCAGAATGTGCTCTTCCTTTCAACTCCGTGGAGAAGTACATTGAGCACATTAAGAATTTCCACAAAGAGATTGCTGTGTCTGACAGAGGATCAGTTGATCCAACCTTCCGGTGCCAGTATGATGGATGTGACCGTGTGTACACTACAAAATCAAACCTCCTTCGCCACCTGATCAAAAAGCATGATTATATTTATGATCCCAAAGCGAGCGACGGAAGACGAACTAAATCAATCGGGCTCTTTCCAGGGATTAATAACGGGAAGGAGAATGTAGACAATAAATTCAAAATGAAAAAGAAAAACACTAAAAAGAAAGACGGGAAATCCATTGAACACTGGACTAGTTTTGGCAAGCCTACACTAAAAACCCACGAAGAGGCATCAGCCATGTGCACCAAGAAGTCCCCCCTGCAGTATCCGTGCATGATCATCGGCTGCGACGCAGTAGAGCGGGCTGAAAGAAACATATTCAAGCATTACACAACTCATGGCCTCACAGAAAGATACATAGAAGATCAGAGAAGTCAGTTCATTTTCTGCAAAAAGTATTCACGCTCCAGATTCAAAGATGCAAACAAATTAGAAGGAGCAGAAAGTTCTTCTTCTGAAGAGACGGAGCTTGAGGAAAGCGTGAAGCCTATTGAGGGGAAAACGGAGGAGACTTTGGTGGTGGAACAAGAAAAAGTCGAAGAGAAAGTCGAAGAGAAGGAGGACGCCAAGCTGTCCAACGATGATAGCGCAGAATCTCAAGCTTCCAATGGCACAGGAGTCGGACCTAAAAGGGGGCGTCCTAGAAAACCTTCACAGCCTACACCAGCATGTCCAGAAAGGATGCAGACCCTTAGAAACCGCTTGACTGTTAACAGTTCCGGAGAGAACTCAAATCCCGGTACCCCTTCGACCCAAGAGCAACGAGAAGATGGGGCTTCACCGGGATGTTTCAAGCCTTTAGGGCTCGAGGACTCCTTCCTCAAGTTCTTGGAAACCTCAGAGACAACAGTTTCTTCTAAACGTAAAATAAATGAGAAACCCAATTCTGAGGTGCCGCACAAAAGACAACAGACTCCCAAACTGAAATCTGGAAGTAAAAGTCAAATGACGAACGACATTAGAGGTTGTGAGAATCTTATAGACTTCAGAAACCCTGTAAAGCTAAATTCTGTGAGTAATGTAAAAATTGTTATGGATAAAACATTTTCAGATGGTGCTGAACTTTTACTTAAGCAGCTACAACATATGAGACCCACGGTTATTATAAAAAAGAGGATTTTTAGTGAATCATAGCTCATTTTGTTGTTGTCTTTTTGTTTCCTACCCTGTCTTACTCAGGATTTGAGACGTTATGCTGCAGAATGATTTGTTTCTTAATGCATCAGATTTCCAACTGTTAACAGTCATGGTCACAGTTAACAATGAAATGGCCTATTTTGTACCTAATTGAAAAAATATGTCTCTGATGATTTTAACTATGTATGTTAGTTATAATAACCAGGTAAGCAATAGGGCATAGATTTTAGAACCATGTTTGTATTTATGCTTAGTACTGAATATGTTTTTTTTCTTTTACTAAATGGACACCTTTTAAAGAAAACTATGTTTTTATAAATATCCCTATGGGATTTCGAGTCCTGTTTGTATTTATTTCATCCCTTTTCAACACTAGTAGACCTATCTGTAATATTTACATGTCTTCCACAAAGTGTTCAATAAAATGTTACTGGTTCTTTTTTATAAAAGCACGAGTGAAATCTTGTCTTTTTAAAAATGTCATCAATTTGATCTACAAATACAACAACACAGCTGCTTAAACCCAGTTATTCATGAAATTGTAACTTCTTGAATTAAATAAACTTTCAAAGATGATCTCATAAACCATTTTAATTTATAGCACATTTAAAAACGGCATGATCAAAGTGCTGTACACGGAAGGATTAAGATTCTGGGAAAGGGATAAAATGCAGCATTCACAAATTGGACGAAGCTAGAGCCAGTTTAAAAGATTTAAATTATACTTTATTATAATCTGCAGAATCACATTCATAATGTATTGTCAATATGTTTACTTTATTCATAAGTAGTTTATGAAGCTGTTCTGAATTTATAACAAGCTCCATTTTTATTTTTATTTAAATTCAAATAAAGCCAAATTACTTTTAATCTAAAACTAAAAGATGTGGTAAACAAGACTAATACACATTGTGGATTACATGCATTTTATAATACACAGAAAATGTGTTTAATATTTGAGTCATTCAATTTTTAGACAGCTTTGTGATATTTAAATATAAACACACAAAATAAAATATATGTGTGTGATCACGGTTACATTTTGTTGTCTATTATATGCTATGGCGGCATCTAATTATATGCTATAGCGGCTTGCCATACTTCTAACACTTCCAACCTTTTCCGTAAACGTCACTCTGGCGGGAAGTCGCGGCTACGTTTCATGAAAAGTAGCGTTTTTTAAAAAAAGAAACAACTACAAAGAGTTTGAAGAAAGATGGCCACCTCTTCTGTTTCAAAGGTAACTTCTTATAGCTTGTTGTCGTTCAACGACGTTTCTATTAACAAAAATGGAGGCCTCGCGATATTTGCGTCAGACTCGACAGTGTTTTGCTGTGTCCCTTTAGGGCTGCTTTGTTTTCAAGCCCAGCGCTAAAAAGAAGAAAAAGACCCTTGATTTGGGTGAGCTATGTTACATTAGACAGAGAAGAGTTGTTAGTTGGATCTGTTTGTTGCGATATAAACGTGTCTGTATTTTTACACAGAGAGCTATTTCACTGATGGCTGTGAAGATGCACGGAGCAGTGAGTTGAGATTCGAGCTCTGCCAGGATCTGTGGGACCAAATCAAAACTGAGACAGAAGTAAGAACAAATTATAATATCAGAAAAATACAGAGAATGTGCAGATCAGCATAATCTTTTTTTTTTTAAATAAGATTTTACAGGATGAGCTCAACAGAAAAGTTCTGGACAGTTTGTTGGAGTTCACCAAAAAATGCTCCTCCATCCGCCATCACAGTGACTGGACCTCACAGATGAGAGCAAGTGAAATTCCCACAGCCGCTCTCATCCTTGGTACCCAGTAGTTATTGTTTTGTTTTTTCAAGCTGCTAACTTGCATTATTACAAAAATCCCGCAAGCTGCATTTGACTTTCATCTCTCACTGCAGGCGTGAACGTCACAGATCATGACATGACCTTCCAGAGTCTGTCTGAGCTGCTCCAGACGTCTGTCACCCCCCATGTGGCGTCTGTGCAAGCCAAAGAGTGTGGAGGTGATGGGAAAAGCTTCAAACTATACAAACGCGTCAGGATTTTACTGTAAATGTCACAATATTCAGGAGTAGACTTTTTGGTTTTATTATTTCAGCTCTTAAGCATTTGATGAAGAAGGTTCTGGAGAGATTGATGGACACGGTTGTAGCTGTAGGTGATGATGATGATGAGGTGGAGGAGGAAACGGAGCAGCACCACAGGAGTGTTCACTGCTCCTTGACGACTCTCTGCGATTGGTATAGTAAGAAAACAAAGGTGAGGACACGACGCAGGTCCGCTCATGCAGGTTTTTAATTCGGCGAGGTGAAAACAAACGTTTTCTTGGGTTTAAGAAATCCAGCAGTGGAACTCCCGGAAAAAAGCGCAGTTCTTTGGTCGTTAACGAGCAGCAGGAGCCTCCGGTGGTGATCGTCTTCAAAGATTTGGAAGCTTTTAATCCGAGAGTTCTTCAGGACTTCATCCTTGTCTGCAGGTGACTTTAGAGCAGACACGTGAGAAGCTCTCACGGTTTACGTTGGAAGGTTAAAACTGCGTCTGATGATTGATCCACAGCCGTTACGTTCAGCGTCTTCCCCTGATGTTTATCTTCGGGATCGCCACGGCGCCCAGCACCATCCAGCACATGCTGCCTCACTCTGTGTCCTCGCTGCTGTGCATAGAGCTCTTCCAGTCCCTGTCCTGCTCTCAGCATCTCACCACCGTCATAGAAAAGGTGCCTTCACCGTGACATCTGTGCATGCTGATCGAAGATTTTGAATCTGATAAAAGTCCATCCCTTCTTTCCAGTTGATCCTGACACATTCTTTTCCCTTCAAACTCAACGGGAAAGTGATGCAGGTGCTGGTGGGCATCTTCCTCTACCACGACTTCTCAGTCAAAAACTTCATTAAGGGCCTGCAGGTGAGGATCGGGGTCTAAACGAGTAAGGTATGTAAATGTAAGGGACTGATTTTCTCCCGACTATCTTCCCGTCCTGGGTGCAGCTGGCCCTGCTGGAGCACTTTTACTCGCAGCCCCTCAGCGTGCTGTGCTGTAGGAAGGAGAAGGCTCTGCTGAACCTGAAACACCTTCGCCATGATGACCTGGAGAGGGTCAGGCAGCTCCCGTCGTTCAGGAGGTGAACAAAACCAGCTGAGATGATCATTTTCTATAACTGAATGAAAAAAAAAGCTCTTTGTGTTAAAATTCGTTTTTAGGTTTGTGGAAAAGCAAGAAATAGAAGAGCAGGAAAAGCTCAGGACGGATGACTCTCATTTAAAGGTTTGTTAAAGATTTCAGTTTTTAGACGACTTTTTTTTTGTGCACAGGATTTTATCCTTTTTGTGATTTTAGAACGTTTGTCAAAAACTGATGAAGGATCTTCACAAATACCACAAGTGCTATTATCCCATTTTGAGGTGTCTCCACACTCTGACCTCATCGTTGCCTCGATACCCTCTCGGAAAACAGGCAAGAAAACAGTTTTAAACTTTCATTTAAACCATCTTTTTGCTTTGGTCTCACTTCGTTCTTTGATTTTTGGAGTCTCCTTTTTCTTACTGCTGCAGATCAGGGAGCTGCACTTGAATTGCTTGGAGAAGAACGTGTGGGAGGCGGAGGAGTACCAGTCAGCTGTGAATCTTTTAAAGTAAGCTGAGCTCAACATAAAACTTGTAATTTTTTTATTTTTTGAGGCATTTCTATTTAGCTATTTTGATGTAAACGCAATGCCATCTCTCCATTCAGTTGCAGCCAGTTAGATTTGCCACTAGGTGGCGACAAAGTTGTGGGATTTTTAGAGGTGTTCCTCCCCCTGGTGGTCAGTATTTTTGTACTTTTTTCTTCAGGATGCTGGCGAAAGACGAGCTGATCTCTTTGCTGCAGAAATGTGCAGAAATCCTGCAGCCCATCAGGTCAACTCAGCTGAAGAGTGCTTGCGTCCAACTGGAGGAACTACTGTCCAAATTCCAGCAGCTGGATGGTAGTTCAAAGCAGGATTTTTAAGTTTTTTTTAAATTTATGATCATAATCTTTTGTTGTTCACACAGCACCTGCTACTGATCAGAGTACCGCTTCAGAGGAAAACTTCACCTCTCCAGTAAAAAACCTTCCAAAGAAAACAGATCTATTCCAGCTGCAGAAGGTACGTCCATCAGACATTTTTTTCTGTTCTTTGACGAAATACTTTTTTAAAGCCGTTTGGACATTTGATCTACTTGCAGACGCTGCTGGAGTCTCGCAGATCCAGGAAAAAGAGTCCGTTTGAGGCTCTACGTAACGAAGCTCTGGACTTTATCGACACTTTAGTGAAGTAAGAAATGAAAAATAAAACTTAGATCCACAAGAGTTGATTAAAGTAACAGAATAGCTAATTTAATGTGTATTTGTGCCAATCAGGAGTCACCTATCCCCCCCAGAGTCTCAGCCGCTGTATGAAGTCTGCTACTACAGTTCTTCAGCTGCTGTCAGACGCCACCTCAATGCTGCACCTCGCACCTCCATTCAGGCTGCACTCAGCAGCCCCTACCACTACCTTCAGGTTCGTCTTCATAAAACAACAGATTGCTCCTGTGGACGACGGTCAGATGTTGACGGTGGCTTTATTTTCAGAATGAGAGCTTAAAGTCCGACGACGGCACAGTGTCCAACTCTGCTCCGGATATCTGCATCGCATACAAGCTCCACCTGGAGTGCGGCCGACTGATCAACCTCTACGATTGGCTGGAGGTGAGTGAGACGAGCGTTTAGCTCCAGAGATGAGCCGATTTTCTGTCGGAGAGGTTTTGTTCGACTGTTTTTGTTTTCAGGCGTATTCCACCGTGATTTCTGCTGCCGAGGGGACCGATCCAGACTCAGACGGCTTCGGGAAAGTGGACGAAGTCAAACAGCATCCTTTCTGATTTCTTTCAGTTTCTCTACTAAATCTGAAAATTTTCAGTTAGAAAAACAAAACTAACAGTTGAGCAGCTGAAGTTTTTATTCAAACAAGAAGGGAAACATAGTGACACTTCAGGGAATTCACTTGTTTCACATGTTGAAGGGTTACACACACACACGCACACGAAGCAATTATGTCATTTTACTTTTTGCCCCTAGAAAATGTAACAGTCCTTGACAGCAGATGTGATCAGACTGATTTCATGGAAATCAGACAAAAAGATTTAAAATTTGTTTTTCCTCAACTTTTCCTTTCAGCGCTCGTTTCATCCGCGCCGTGGCTGAGCTGGAGTTTCTGGGCTTCATCAAGTCCACGAAGCAGAAGACCGACCATGTGGCTCGACTCACATGGGGAGGCTGTTGATCTAATCTTCAAGGGGGGAAAAAAAACATAAATCTGTGGTTTTTGTGCTAAGTTGGACTCAAACGCACAGTTTTTCTGTAAATAAAAATCAAATGTCCCTGATTTTCTTAAGAGATATCAGTAAGGGGTGGAAATCTAATTAAAAAAAAATTAGCCCTCACTTTATGCCTATTAAAAAAAAGAAAATCACTAAAGTTCTTGCACTCCCTTTCAGATTGACCAGCAAATCCTATAAAATGTTAGAGATTTCCTCATATTTACATGCAACAAGTCTGGAATGCTGGGAGTCATTACAAAAGTAAGATAGCTGGAGGGACAGAGGCCACTGGTGGAGACGGGGGCCGCTCATTTACATCAGGAAGGACACGGCTGCTTACAACACACTGCCAACAACAGCTTCATTCAAACCTTGTTTTGCCCAACAGACGTATGGCACGGTAAAAAGTTTCATTTAAACTAGCTAAAATCAAATCTCTCCCAACGAGGAACTCTTAAGAAGCATCATGACGAGCTCGCTTCCTGCAAAGCGTCGGTGCCACACTCAGGAAACATCTGGAGAAGAGAGATGAAATACACAAACCAGACCCGTTAGCTGAATCCAGGCCAGTGGAGCAGGAATGTGGAAAGAAAAAAAGAGGAACTCACAGCTCGCCGGCTGCTCTCCGAATCGTCGCATTAACTGATCGTGTGTAAATTTCACAAAGGTGTCGTATTGTTCTGGAATTTCAGAAAGGAATCGGTTAAAGCTGCCGTCACTCAGATGCAACACGTTAAAAAGGAGAGGTTGGGGAATTTAAAAGCATGTCTGGTGAACTAAAATGTGTTACAGAACATGCTCCATCTGATGGTTTCAGCAAGTTTGTGATTTATTCCTGCAAAACAACAGTAACCTCAGTTTAACTGACACTCTGGACATTTTGATCAAACACCAGTGCTGGGAGCGTTGCTATTAAAAAGTAATTATAGTTACGGATTACTTTGTCAAAAAAGTAAGTCAGTTACAGAGTTACAAGATTATAAATGTAACTAATTACCAAGAAAAATAAATATTTTGTTCCTTTTTTATTATTAAAGAATGCAAGAAAAATGGGGTCCCTTCTTAATTAAACTTAATTGACTATAAATTATAATAGTGAAATATAAATGACTGGAACACAGTAAAACATATGTCCAAGTTTTTTTTCATAAAACTGAATCATTGAAATAAATGAACACTTAACAGGAGGAACTACTAACGGGAACACTACACTTATCTAGACTTTTAAAATGTCACTGTGTGATATTTAACAAGACCCGAATCAACTAAAATTTATTATTGCAAATAGAAACACATGTAAAGGTTCCTGAGCCTTTAAATGGTCTCTCAGTCTAGTTAAATTACTGAAATAAATGTAATTTTGCACAGCATTCTAATTTGTCCAGCTTCACATAACTGTGTGTTTTAGTAGCATTTCTGTTGCTGCTGATCTAGTAATGGTTAAATAAATAAATAAAAATCCTTTAAAATGACACTAGAAGAGACACAAATCTGATTAAATTTACTAACTTGGGTCAGACCCAAACACAGAAGAGCTGAAGCTGGGTGGTAAACACACACACACACACAGGTAGTTCTGGTAACACCTTGAGACTGATGCATCAGTGTTACAGCGGGACTAAAATGATCAGAAACAGGTCACAGCTGGATGATCTAGGAAGGTAGAAGATCAGGACGTCCGAGCGGTGAACAGGTGGGCGGACCTTCGGGACATCCTGCTCAAACTCTGCGACTTCCTCGCAGCGCAAATATTATGAGTCATGTTTTCACACCGTACGACCCGGTTCTCGGAGGCGACCTGACTGCTCACACCGCACGTCTGGTAGCAACACACTGGATCTAAAAACAGCCGTTTTTACACGACACGTTGGACTTGTTTTTGTGTTGTTATTGATGTCTGTTGTCCTTCGGGAGTGCTGCAGGAGGACACGGGTTTAAGGGGGTTGGAGGAGGAAGACGAATGGAAAAGTAGATTAACGTTTTATCAGTTTAAGCAGCAAACATGCTTTCTTGACTATCGTAATTGTGTGCAAAAAAAAAGCGTATAAATAAAAACGAACAAGGCGTGTATATAGGGCGAGCCGTGCTGACGCATGTTAGTGCATGCGCCGTGAGCGGTTCTGGTACTTTTTGGGTTGCAGCCGCTTGAAGCGCCGCTTCAACAGAGCAATACCCTCACGAGGGATGAGCAAACTAGCAAACGCCAGAAGTTCCTGCGAGCTTATGATTGCTGATCCATAGCTGGTCACGTTCAGCGCAAAACTCACCCCGATCTCGGATATTCTCACACGAGGAGAAAATTGGCTCAAAAAAGTGAAAAAATCGTTTAGTGTCCATTTACAGATCAGCACCCAAAGATCCTAGATGACGAGCGAAGATGAGTCACGAACAGTAAGTTGAGTAGATATTTACATTTTACTGTAATGTCTAGTGGTTAGTAACTGGCAAAGTAGCTTGAGATATTCTTAGAGCAGACAATTTGTTTTCTATTTCACTGTTAGCTCAAAGTTAGCCTCTAGTTTACTTTACCCGATAGAGTAAAACAAAATGATTGCGTGGCTTTTTAGAGGTCGCGAGAAATAACTTTACAGTCGCTCCTGTTACTGGCTTAAGATCTTTCCACACCGCTGCTGCTTTTTGGGGGGCTGCTGTTGAATAAAAGATGCCGGCACTGCAGCGAAGACTTGGAAAATTTGAGGGCTCACGTACGACTGGCTCTGGAACCAGGAAGTATGGAGGCAGGACAGACTGTAAACAAAGACCAAGTCCCTCTCTGGCCATTTTGAAAGGAGAAAAACTCAAACCCCCAGCTAGCTGTTTCAATTGAACCTTCCTTAACTTTACTGAGACCTTGGATAGTTTTGTGATTAGTTCACTGTAAAATTATTATTTATTACATCTTTAAACACAACATTGATCTGAACTGCTTCTGCACCAACCTGCCAACTTTGAAGTCATGGTCTCCTCATACTCCTCTCGCACCTTCTCTTCCCTTTCTTTCAGCAGGCGCTCACAAATCATCCCAACTTGTCTCAGAGTGAAGAGAGGTTGTTCTTTTCTGGTTGGAGAAACGCCTCCCGAGGATGTCCCTGAAAAAAAAAACAACATTAGTTTGAATATAGAACAAGGTGTTTGAGTTAATGTCAAAGCCATTTCATGAGTTTTTTTTACTGACTGGATTTCCACTCTCACCAACCTGGCATGCTGGAAACATTCATGGTAGACGCTTGGGAAGGGGACTCTGGAGAATAGCAGCACTCTGATTGTTGGATGCCTCCATCTAGATGCTTCCTCTTATGAATGCGTTTGTACTCTTGTTTGATGCTGTTGAGGATTTGTTCTAGTGGGTCAGAAACAGAAATGGGGCCCATCGGGTGTTTAGGTAACCCGTTTAAACCGGTGTTTGGTGATTTTTAGATGTGTGGATCAACATGTGTTAATAGGCCAGTTGGCGGACAGCAGTGGCTTTACCTGCGCTAAGTCTGGACGACGACTGTCCAAACGGTGAGGGCTCCATGCTGAGGTACTTCCTCGGGGAGGAAGACGAAGGGGGCACGGGGACACATCTTCGTCTTTTAGGTGAAGCAGGACTCATGAGCGGATCGAAATCCATGGTCCGTTTTAGGGTGGCTCCACACGCCATAACTTCAACTTGTGGAAGGTGGTTTAAAATACTGGCAATAAAGCAGTAATTAGACAACAACGAACCATAACTAATGTATGTTCTCAGTTTAAAGTAGGATTTGTTTATATTATCCGATAAATGCCTTTTAAACACTGCGCTGTTCTGCTTTCCTAAAAGAAGCTATCGTTAGCAAACCGATAAAAAAGAAAACAACGGTAATGCTAGCTTTGGATGTCGCTAAACGAGGGTGTCTACATGTCTTTTTGAATAAACTTAAACGTCTTACCTCTTGTTGCAAAGCAAATCTATCCGACAGCGTTAACCAACTCTTGGTGTTGTTAAAATTGTTTTCCCAAAAAGTTAAAGGGACGAGCAGCCAGCTGCGGGCCAACAAGAGCCAACAGATAAGGACTATAGCTAACGCTGCTAAGCAGCCTGTTTGTTGATTCGACACTGTCGGCTTCTTTGGGTTGTCACGTGACGCGCCAAACAGGGACGCTAGGGGTTATGGGTTATGTAGTGAAAAACGAGAGGCGACAAAATGATCTTGGACACGGGACGAAATACGGCCTCAATTAAGCTAAATTTATGCTTTTGATATTAAACTTTTGAATTTAAAAGTTATTACTCTGCTGACGTAGAGTATTTGTTCATCTTTTCTTTCTGCCTAAATGAGTTAATCCACAAGAGGGCGCTTTGACACACCCCAAATAGGAAAAAAGTTGAATTTACAAAACTTTTTTCTCAGTTAATTTAAATGCAATCACTATGAGTTTCTTAATAAAGATTATTTGCGTTGTTAAAAATATGAAAATAAAGTCCTGCAAGATTGCACAGCAGAGGTTTAGCTGAAATGCTGTTTGTGTACGTTCCAGTGTGGTTGCATTATTTGGATTGCATTTAGTTGTTGGGATGTGGTTGCAATGTAACCAATTCATCATATTACCGGTAATATACATTACCAGTCCTCTAAGGCTGAACTGCTCACAGTGATTTTATTAGGTTAATAAGTAGGTTAACAGGTGTTATGCACATACATAAAAATAAAAACCATAAAAATAATATTTATATGCATGTCATTTATATTATTAATAAAACAAAGCAGAGGATTAAAAGTGGGGGCTTATTTATTTTATTGTGGAAAAATTACCAGACAGTTTGACAAAAATAGATTGACATGTTTACTAAGCACATGTCAGTAAAGTGACAAAATGGCACATTTCACAAAATATGGCTGTATTACATGTAATAAAAGCAAATTTAAAAAGCAAAACCATGCAGAATTATAAAATATCACACTTAAAAATTATTAGATAAAGAGAATTAGTTCAAATATAATAAAATAAATAAATAAATAAGACGATATCCATACAAAATAGTTGTGGCCAAATTTTACAATTCTATGGTCTTTACATTTGATAATGACACTGTACAATTCACCACTAGCGACAAGCTACTTTTATTTACAAGCATATTTTCTCACACTGAATATGGTGCATGGGTTTGTCTTAAATCACCGGCACAAGATTGCTCATATTATGTTACAAAATAATCACAAAAGGCTATTTTTTGTGTTTGTTAAAAGGAAAAAAAAAACCTGCATTTTCAAATAAAAAAGATTACATTTTTGAAAGTTGTCCCAGAAAAAAAAAGAAAATAATTACTGAGCAAAATGTTTTAGAAATATGCATTTTATCAAAAGTCAAGTCAAAGTCATTTTATTGTCATTTCTACCACATGTGCAAGACATACAGAGAAATGAAATTGAGTTTCAGTACACACAATTCAGAGATCAGACATACATGGGCAAGACACATGACAAGAATTGGTGACTGTGGTCATTCGCAACACGAGTCGCGCTACCTTAATAGATGAGAAGGAATTACATGAGGATAGGTTGGTGGAGGGAAAAAAGTACTGAATAAGATCAGACAATCCACAATACAATCAAAACTCATCCTGTTTATCTCAAGTTTTAACAATAAGTTCTCATTAAATCCCTGCAGTTCCACACTGCACCTAAGTTATTTTGGCACATTTCACAGTAACAAAACTCTTCTGTTAACAAACTCAACTAAATTTCCAGTTCTTCACACTTTTGCAGCACTATGTTTTTCAGACAGGCTCTGCCGTGGAAGTATCTGTACCTCCAGATATGGTGACCTGGGCCACTTTTACTTGGGTCTTTCTACAAACACTTCCATCTTTCCCCACCCCACCTGCTGCCGCCCTCACACTCCTGCTGTTCCAGTCGCTCTCAGTGCTGTAGTCCAGAGTCTGCGTCCCTCCTCGCCACATGTGACAGATGTTGATGAAAGCCCTCCTAAGGTCCTTGCTCCTCATGGCGTAAATGATCGGGTTCACAGTGGAGTTGAGCAGGCACAGCATGCTGCAAAAGGCGAACACGGTCTTGATGAAGTCGTTCACTTTCCCAAAGAGGTCGTACACCATGATGGCTAGGAGCGGGCCCCAACAGATGATGAGAGCCACCAGGATCAGGACCAGGGTCTTAGCCAGACGGAGGTCCATCCTGGCCTGCTCGGGCCTCACCGTCTGCACCTTTGCCCCCTCTGCCGTGTAGACAATCATGCTCCTCTGAGAGCTGCGGCTCAGCATGCGGACGGCGTGATGGTGAGACTTCCAGAGGATGAACATGTAGGCGTAGATGATGAACAGCAGCAGGATGCTTGTAATTCCAATCCAGAACATCAGGTACTTCTGGTCGATCAGAGGGAAGATGTCGGAGCAGACCGAGCCCAGACGCTTGCAGTTCCAGCCGAGCAGCGGCAGCAGCGAGATGACGATGGAGATGGACCACATCAAACTGAAAGCGATTACCGCCTTAGTCTTTGTAACGATGCGCTTGTACGCCATGGGCCTGTGGATGGAGATGTAGCGATCAATGGCGGTGAGAAACAAGCTGCCCACAGAGGCCGTGAAGGAGGCGATGACTCCTGCCAGCTTGAAGAGGAAAACATTTGGCGTGTCCTTCCTGTGGAGGACATGAAAATCCAAGAAACTGTAAACAAAAATGATGCTTCCTATCAGATCGGCCACAGCCAGGCTGCCTATGAAGTGATAGGAGGGCCTGGATCGAAGAGTCTGAGCGTGAAGGATCACACACAGCACCATGAGGTTTTCCAGCACCGTAAAAGTTCCCAGGGTGAGCGCTAAGATGACGATGGCGAGCTGTTGACCGGGAGTGAGGATCATAAAGCACTCCAAGTTGTCCACAAAGTCCTCAGTGCACTGTGCAGCTCCACTGTTCTCCACGGAGGTGGCGTTATCCAGGACAAAGTCTGACACGTTGGTGGGAAAAATGGGAGAAAGCGCTGTGAAAATGACCTCCTTATTCCCTGGGATGAGTTCAGGAACGGAGCTGCTGATGGAGGCAGAGTACGGTTTCTCAAAGTGGAATCTATTCTTAACCAGGCTGGAGTCAGCGGAGGGGTCGTCGTAGCTGGCATCGTTGGAGCCGAGATACTGGACACCTGTTGTTAGTGTGCTCATCGTTGTGCCTGCGATCCGGTGTGCAGCCAGCTTCATGGCTGCTGAGTGGCTGCAGGGATGCTCAGAGGAATGGGGTGTTAGTTAGCATTACACTCACACAACACATCTACAGAAGAAATAAGACATTTTTTCATGCGGATAAAGCATTTTCCTTATTTAAATGGTGATTTAAGCATATTAAGGTATCATTAAACATAAAATAAAGGAGATTTTTGTAATTTCAGAGAATCTGACTCCAGATGCATCCCAGACAATAGTGGGAACAGTGTATGAACTTGTAGCCCTGAGGGAAATCTTCACATTAAGAATGCAGAGCTTTTTTTAAAACTAATTACAGGAGGTCATTAAGCATTAAAGCTTTCTTCCTTTTCCAGTAATCTCTTGAATAATTAGGTATCATGGGACAGGGTCTACAAACCTGATCAATCAACCGTAAACATATGACAAGGATCATGATATTAATTAGTAACAATCTAATCAAGTCAGATGTCGAGAAAAAACATTTTAAGGGAATTTTTGAGTAAAAAAAAATAAAGTTTATTTATGATGGTTAGATGTTTATTACTTACCTTTATTGAGTCGCTACAGATATCCTGGACCAGTCCATCCCGCGAAAAAACTAAATATTTAGAAAATAAAAAAAGTTTGAAGTCTTAGAACAATGAACGCGAGACAGAAATTTGAGTTGTTGTGATGATCTGCCTGGTTAGGAATCCCGTGAGTGTCGGAGGCAGCCGGAGAGGTGTGAGTCTGTTTGGGAGCGCCCTCGCGGTTATATGGCTGTGCTTTGTGCGCCTGCTGGTCACGTGGTCTGAGGTGTTGGAGCGCAGGAAGCGCATCCGATCACCATGCAGGCTGTTTAGAAATGAACTCGGCAGCAGCTGCGCCCAGAACCTGATGATCGACTTAACAGAAAAATTTGACACAGCCCCGTTTAAAACACGCACTAACGGCGTGGAAAACTAATAAATAAAGGGATCTCTATATAGTTCAGACATATGTTTTGGTGTTTGGTTTTACTTGATCCTTTGTCGTTTTATTACTTTGATTTTCTCCATGCTTTTAATTTCGACGTTATAAAAAAGGAAGTAGCTAATTGGTTTGCAGACAAAACTGAAGCGTTCTGCTGCAGCTTTGGTTCTGTTGAGCTTTTGTGCTCCTGCTTTCTGAAGCGCCGACCTTGATGTTGTTTAGTTAACAAAATTATTTTGCTTTTCAGCCTGCCTCCTAGGTTCCTTCTGCATCACAGATTGTGACAGATTTGTACTTATAATTAACAAAATTACATTTACTTTTAGTTATTCGCAGAGAGATCGCAGATACAAGCGGCCGAAATGTGTTTCCTCCGTAGGGTGGCCGGGCTCAGCCTTAGAGATAGGGTGAGGAGCTCGGACATTCGGGAGGGACTCGGAGTAGAACCGCTGCTCCTCTGGATTGAAAGGAGTCAGTTGAGGCGGTTTGGGCATCTGGTCAGGATGCCTCCTGGGTGCCTCCCTGGGAAGGTGTTTCGGGCATGTCCTGCTGGCAGGAGGCCCCCGGGTCGACCCAGGACACGTTGGAGAGGTTACATCTCCAATCTGGTCCGGGAACGCCTTGGGGTCCTGCCGGAGGAGGTGGTGGAGGTGGCCGGGGAGAGGACGGTCTGGAGCTCCCTAGTTGGGATGCTGCCCCCGTGACCCGGACCCGGATAAGCGGAGGAAGACGACGACATTTACTTCAAGTTATTCCCTTAATGAAGGGTATTTGGAGAATGCAGTATGTGTTTACTCAAAAAACAAAGAAACAAACAAAGAAATCTGTAAGGCATTGTTTATAAACTGTAAAAGACAGTTACTTTAATATCTGCTAATTGATTAAAACTGGCATCAGTCTGTGGTGGTTTGTCCTCAGGGAGCTGAAGTCTCCTCCCCTGCCGGTTGGCTCGTGCGTCCCCGGAACAAAGAAAAAATGAATGATCTGTAAAAGCAATTTTCTAATCCACTTTACATTATATACCCTGAATCACACATATGCTGTACTTCAATTTAAATGAAAAGTAATTGTGTGTGTCATGTACGTTTTAGGTTTATTACCTTGTAATAATTTTTTTTATTAAAACGACTACAAATCAGACATACATGACGTCACCACAGGATCTTTCCTCTCTCAGCCTAGCTGCTATTTACCACAGGACCACAGTGGTTTTCCCCACATTTAATACTCCCTCTTTTGTCCTAGAAGGATTCAAAGCTCGCTAAACTCAGCTGTTTTCTTCTCCGTGTTTGGTTTGTTGATGTCAATACGGTGAGACGCTTTTGTAGTCCTATCGTCTTTTCACACAAAACCTTATAAAAACCTTTGCTGCCTTTCAAAAATAAGCAATTTCTTGGTCAGTAAATTTGAATTGCATTCATTTTTTTCTTCTTTCTGGGGTGCGGTGACCCATAGTCTGGAGGTTGATGGGCATGACTTAGGCTACCTATAGGGGTTGCCCCTTTCTGAAGTGAAGGGAGAGAAAAAAAACCTAAAAAGTAAAAGAAAAAAACTGCTAAATATACATAATGCATTTTGTATGAATGTATCTCTCATTAAACAAGGAATTTTCTCCAACATCACTGCTGGGGCGCTGGAAAAAGTGCCCCAAACTGCACGTAAACAGCCAATCGTGTTTGGTTGCTAGGAAGAACTGGAGAGTTTTTGGCCAATCAGCATCACTGAATTTAATGCCTCTTGTGTGCTAGGCGATAGTGCCCCTGCTACAGAAAATAACTAGCTAGCATGCTAGAAGGTGCTGAATGTCTGTCCCCTTCTTTCTCTCTCTTGTCCCTCATTCACATAAACTCACTGTTGGTTTATTTATATATATAGATGAAATAATTTATGTAGCTGCTACATTAAAATGTGTCTATTTCTTCTAATTTTATGAGATTATAAAGTGATCAAAACAGGACATGTAATTCAATTTCTACGTTGTGTTAGTGCCACCTACTGGTGGAACTGGGTATTGTGCTTTAAGGCACCCACACTTTTAAGGGCTCGACACACGGGAGGCGAGAAATGACGGCGATCAGCGAAATTCATCGCTGTTGCTTTTATTACCTGACACACGGGAGGCGACCCGCGCCAGCGGCAAAGCCGTCTACGCGTTCTGTTCCATGGTGAAATCGAAACTTCCGTTGTTTTGTTTGGCTGTGTCAGGTTGGAGGGACTATATAAAACACAATAATAATCAACTTCTCCTCCATGTTTGCTCGGAGGTGTGCGGAGCATCCTGTCCGCTCATTGGTCAGTGAATGAAACCGCCGTTGATTGGTCCTCGTCCGAGCGACAGTGATGAAAAGTTGAAAATATTTCAACTTTCTGGGATCGCGTCGCTGGGTCACCTGTGTACGACGTGTGCACGAGTGCAAAATTTCACACGCACGTTTTTCGCGTTTCGCTTAGTAGGAGGAAGACCCGCGATTATCGCATTGTCGCGCATGTCTCATTGAAAATGAATGAATGAGAGGCGATGTCGCCTCCCGTCCGTGTGTCGAGCCCATAAGACTGAAAACGTGAGCTGGAAAACAAACTAATGTCAAAATAAAATGTGAATAAGGGCAAAATATTTTTTACATAATTAACTGCAGTTGCTCATGTGGGCTTGTGTGTTTATTTGGGTGTTACTATTATAGTCATCTGTACATTTGATAATTGACAATAAATAAGACGGTCTGTAAAACTGCAGTCAGTCACACATTTGCAACTGCACAGTGAATGCACGGAGATCCAGAAACTTCACTGGATCAATTTTCCATCAGCTGGAAGGAAAGTTTCCTTGGTAGGACTAAATGCAATGTAGCATTGTTTCTTTTGCATCCAGAAAACAAGTGTTCCTCTAATTTTATGCATAAATGGGCACCATGTGGAGTAATTTTAGAGTAATTTTAAACTCAGCAGTGTTCAGTCTTTTCAGAATATCCTCTACTATTTTACTTATTTCCCAGCAGATGTGGGTTGCGAGCAATAAGCATCTTTCCTGCCCTGGCTGTGCAGCTGCATGATTATTTCCACTGTGCACTCTCAGTGATGCTCTCCCCCAAATTACATGTATCTCACTGTGGAAAACCCATGACATTTGGAGATCCGACATCATGGCAAAACAGGGAGAACACACGAAGAACAGGAACAAGTACACTTGTAGCGCTGAAGAAGGTTCAATCATATGAGGCAGGATGATAGATAAAAAGATAAATGTAAAGATCCTCATCTTAAATGTAACACTTAAAGCCTTGAAAGTGGATGTATACATTTATTCATCCTCAAAAACATGCAACAATTTCTAAAATATGTGGTGGTTACTTGCACCGGCTGTCGGTCTCTGATGTGTTTATTTTGTGGGGCCGGAGGGGGAGGACGGGTGAGGAGGATGAGATGCATAAATAGAGAAGGGGAGGAGGCCATGGCTGAACGCTGACGGCTCTTAACTGTTTCCTAATCTGCCACTTCTACGTTGTGTTCCTCCCCAGCTGGAAACCCTTCATACTGTAGCCAAGGTGACTCTGGAGCTTAATAAAACCCAAAGATATTGATCGCTGGAGATTCAAGATGATCCTCCAGCCTTGATATTGCTTTCATCCAACACACATGGTTTAATTATGTCAATAAGTTTTGGGGGATTTTAATTGGAAAAGCTGCTTCAATTTAAAATAAAAAGTGAAAAAGAGAAACTGAAAATCTCATGTTTCTTTTTCTGCATCTGAATTTGAGCATGCATCATCCCTATGGAGAAAAACACCACTTCTGGCAACGCGATAGTCGTGACTCAGTGCCTTCTGTGAGCTTCTTCATAAAAAAAATAAATAAATAAATAAATAAATAAATAAATAAATAAATAAATAAATAAATCAGAATAACCAGCATGCAAAAGGACAAATTTATTCAGTTTGGCTCCTTTTCTGTTGTAGAAATTGCAGCGTCGCTTAGCGCAGAGACTGACAACTTAATGGTCAACTAGTAGAATCTCCTTCATGCACCATTTGGTTGTGTAAAACCCTTTTTTATCTCTTGCAATCAGGAGGATTTAGCAGGTGGTTCAGTGAACATTCATTTGTGCAGACTTCGTAAATGCATGCTATGGGCGTAAATGAGTTAGTCAGGCAGAAAGGCTGAGCTTTACATAACACCTGACTGTGTCTTGCAATAGTTCCCCTCATCCCTTCAGCTTTAAAAGATATTTCTGTGCATTAGTCACCAAAAAAAAAAAAAAAAAAAAACTAAAAATGCTCCAAAATCTCATCTGGAATGGCTTGGATGTGGCCTGTTTGCAGGAAGGGAATTATTCATTCACCCTTTGTGCAGCTGCAGAGGTTCAACGAGTGACAGAAAAAGGCCAAATGAAGCTGACGGCTGTGACACCACAGTTCCTTTACCTGTAATCACTTGGCCTTTGTCCATCAGGTAGACGAGAACTTGTGAAATTGAATTTTCACTTTTAGTTTGTTGCATTTCTGGTTTCCTGTGCAGATTTCTCACCAAATAAGGGTGTTTTAAAACATTTTATTCAACTTTACTGTGCACAGGAAGTGATTGGTTTACATGCTTCCTTCATGCACCTACTTTCTCCTCAATATTCTGGAGAATTTCGTGGATTTTCTCTACATAAACTCCACAAGAATTTCAGAGAAGTTTTAGAGATTTCTGTTATAACGAACCACTCTTGTGGAAAATCTCTGGAAAATTCTGTCATGAAAGTATTCAATACTAAATCAGTTACAGCTGCACAAGTCTTTCATTTGCACGACACACCGCTTCTTAATGCTATTAAGACCTTGAAAAAGGTTTCCATTATAAGTATTTGCTTGCTGGCGACTAATAACAACAGAAAAAATGTAAAATTCTGCAGGAAGTCA